GTTTTATTTCAATGTCTTGTTCCACGTATAAGAATGAGTTGTCAATAGAAATAATATGAAACCTGTCGCAAGCAATATCTACTGTTGTTGAAGAACCTTCTCCAAACTCACCTACATTTCCATAAGAAACAGCAGTTGTATATTCGTAAGTTCCAGGAACTATTTCTGACCTTCTAATGGCATTGTCGCATTCGTTATACCATTCGGAAACATTTCCATTCATGGCATCCAAAACTGTTGGCGTTATATTCTGAGCGGCGTACATTTCATATGGGTAAAAATATAGAATAGTTGGATTTATGTGTCATAATAGAACCCACTCGGACCAAGCTTTACTTTCTTCCTGACTGAGTTTTTAACTCTTCTTTTTCCTTCATTGCCACTACTTTCACTAGATGAAGCTACTTCTTCACTACTTTCACTTTGTTCTACTCTTCTCTTCTTCTTTGGTGTCGCTTTTGGTAACTTGCCCTCTGCTTCAAGTTGTTGCATCTTTGCCTCATGTTCACCTAGTATGTTGTAAATTTCCCATGTCCTTTTTGCCTTTGGGCTCTGGTCGCCCATCTCAGGTAACCTATATCCTAGAAAGATTTTGTCATAGTTTGTATTTGAGTCTTCGCGTATTGTTTGCATGACTCTTTCCTGAGTTTCCGGTTCAAGCTCTTCAAACAGAGCTTGTCCATATGGAATAAGCTCGTTTCCAAATATATGTTTTTGTAGCCATTCTGGTTTTCTTTCCATGTTACCAATAATATCCTTTGTGAATGGGAAAGCTTCTACCCAACGTTTCAGTCTTGCGTCATTTATTTCTGTAGTTGGTTTTATTTTGTCAAGGAACATGTTTTTCAATACTAACATTTCATTTGGTACTGTCCATTTGAGTTTTCTTAAATATTCATCCCTTCTCGGTTCATTGTCTGCAAAGTAAGTTTTTATGACATTTTGTAAACTTTCGTTTGCAAGGTCATGTACAATAGGTTCTCTTCCTTCTCTGTCCCTAACTTTCTTTCTAAACTCTTCACCAAATATACCATCTCTATGGTTCTGTGTAGTTCTTTGAGATAAATGTTCTAGAACGTCAGGTGTTATATTTCCATCAGCCATGTTTCATTTCATACTGGTCCAAATATCTGCATGTTTCATATCTTTCAATGGCATTAAAGCCGCGCTTAAAATACCAGCTATATCTGGTTCACCATTCACTTCCATTGCGTCTACAACTTCTTGGAATTGAGGTTGTAAGTTTATGAACCACCTATCCGGATTAGCTTTATGACCCCATCTCATTGTAGTTCCATAGTCTGCAGAAACAAAAGTAGGTTTGTTTCCATCTTGGTTAGGTTCTGAATGAACTTTAAACAATGTTTTCATTTCTATATGTTTTGTGTTGAAATTTAACCTTTTATTTTCACCGAGTTCAGCCAAAGATTGAACGTTATATGGTCGTAAGTAAAAAGGGTTGTTGTATTTGCGTACATTTTCTTTCAGTACTTCCATTCTATGCTGAATATTTTTCATCTGGTGTTGGAGTCTTTGTATGTCGGTGAACATTTTTTCGATATTCTTCTACTATGTCAGCCGAATTTTTTTTAGACTCTTGGAAAGATTCCATATTCACCTCATACTCTTGTTGAGGGTCAAGATTTTTCGGCTGTTCAAATCTTCATCTAGTTCTGTGAAGTTAGTTTCCAAAGGAGGGACTTGTTCGTTTCCTTCAGGCTCTTCTAGCTGTTGTTGCTGAACTATTTCTTCCATGTCTGGTTGTATCTGAACTTCTTCCTGTGGAGTTTCTTGTACCTCATCTGCTGGCATTTCATATATTCCGAGACCGTTTTTAACAAGTTCCCTATCTAAGTCATCCGGACTCATAAACCTTTCTTCTTTCGTTCGTCTCTATTTTTTACGCGTTTCATGAAGAGAGTTGAATTGTCATTTAGCTCTGACACCAAATATCTCGGAGTAAATTCGTTCATGTCATTTGGATGATATGCTATTAAATCATATCCCTTAGCGAGCTTGTATTTTCCAGGTTTGAAATTATATCCCATTTGGTGCTGAACCATAAAGCTAAATAGGTTCGGGTCAGTATTTCCTTCCTTGAACTTTCTAATAGCTTCTTTATATCTGTCACTAAAGTCAAGAGTATCTGGGTAACCATACTCTTCTTTAAGCATTTTTAAGAATTCTTGGTTTCCTTGTTCTCTACTTCTTTTATGTCCTTGCTCTGTTTGTGGTTGTTGTTGTTGTGCAGGGTTTTGAACTGTTGGTTGTTGTGCAGGGTTTTGAACTGTTGGTTGTTGTGCTGGTTGTTGTTGTTGTGCTGGATTTTGAACTGTTGGTTGTTGTGCTGGATTTTGAACTGTTGGTTGTTGTTTTGGTGCATGCCTGTGTCTATGTCCATGTGACGATGTAAATGTTTTAGGTAGTCCTGGTGCAGGTGCTTCTCTTGGAGGGTTTGGTGGTATATAAGTTCCACTAGCTAGTATATAAGTTCCACCAGCTGGCACATATGTTCCATCTGCAGCGTAATGTCCTACCTGACTTTTCGTTCTTAAGAAAGCATTTACTAGGTCTGTTTTGGTCTGTTGTAACTCTTTTTCTTGACTTTCCACAACAGTTGCTCTAACGGCGTCATAGGCACTTTGAACTGCCTGTCTCGTTGCTGCATCTGTTATTTTCGTCATATTTTGTGCTACTTCTTTTAACTCTTTGTCGAAACCTTCAGACTTCAGTTTTCTTTTCCAGATGAGAAGTCGTTCACGTAGTTTCACCTTACTATGAAGAGCTTCGAAGGCGTTCTTAAAGTCAGCATTTGTTAAAGCTTCATTTGAACTGTCTTCATCCGCTTGTATTTTTGTCCTTATTGACCCTATAAGTTGGGCTGCTTTAGCGTTGGCTTGGGCATCTATGTTAGCTTTTATATATTCTCTGCGCTTTTCATTGCCTTTTGCATGGCTGCGTCGTTTTTTTACTTTCTTGTGCTAAGTTTCATACTGTACGGTTGGTTTTGCAACTGTAAAAGTTTTTTCTGCCTTTACATTTGCTTCAACTTCTTTTTTATACTCATTGCTATCCATATATGTCTTCAGGGCTTTTTGTTTTTCTCTTCATCTTTCAGTACTTTATATTGAGTAGTATGGTTTTTCAAATTTTATGTTCCATTTTTACTTTCTGCTTTTTTCTGACACTTTTTTCGCATATTCTCTGTACTTAGTTCTTTCAGTTGTTCTTCTTTCTTCTTTTTCTCTACGTTTAACTCATTGAGTTTCTTTGTGTGTCTGTCATATTCTAGTTTCTTTTCGTTTTCACTTATTTGCTTCTGTATGTCTATGTTTGACTTTTTGACATCTGTTATTTGATTTTTGAGTGAACTCAAATTCATTTGACTTTGAGGGTTATAGGTGTTCCGTCTGCAGCTCCACCATAGCCTGCCATTTTCGCTAAAAGTGCCGCTCTTAAACCTCCACTCTGTGCACACAATGACTCGGTTTAAAAGCATAGGATTGCTTGACATTTGTTTGCAACATAGTGGGGTCATTCAGCATTTGTTGTTGCAACTGTTGTTGTGGTGTCAGTTTTACTATTGGATGTTTCAATGCTCTTCCTCTTACGTATATTCTTACGTAGCTTACGTGGCATTTTAAGTGAAGTTAAAAAAGCGGTTTTTTGACAGATGTTTATATGACACTTTCTCCGGTTTATAGGACCTCTCTCATATTATCTTGTCATATCTAAACTCATAGTCATGTATGTCCTCTAACCATCTCATAACGGTTTCCAAACCACTTTTATCGGATGTAAAGTAAAAACATGGATGGTTATGTAAAACGTCTAAAGTTTCTAAAGAGTCTCTCAAAGTATACTTCCTTGGAACGCCCGTAACTTTTCCTGTAGCGACGATAGACCCTTACTTGTCCGGACAAAGTTATACTATTTTGAGTCCTCTACAAAAAAGTCAACAGCGACGACTCTCAAAAATTTTTATGGGCTAGAAGGGGCGCAGCCCCTGGAAAGCCCCCAATACCCAAAAAAACTTCATTTTATACTAAACATCTTCGGGGCTAGAGGGCACGAAGTGCCTGGAAGCCCCCACTACCTTTTTTTTTTTTTTTTTTTTTTTATTTAGTCATATTTTGCATAATTCTAAGTAGATTTTGTAAAAAATCAAGAAAGAAAAATTTTAACGTGCTTTATTTTTTCTTTTTTATAATAATACATATTATTATATAATTAACATATTCATAATGTTTCACCCTTTCAAAAATATAATCCTCCTCCTCTCAAATAAACGTACATACGGGTGGCCTCTTTTTTCAAAAAATTAAAATTTGAAATTTTGGGCTCAAATATTAGAGATTTTTTCAACCTTCAACGATATATGTTGTCTATATCAGACCTCCTTTCTTTTTGATACTTAACATTGTTCCTAAATCTTAGCCGTTAAGGCTGTTCTGAAAATATTTTTTTTCGAAAAAATTCGAAAAAAATTCTTGAAATTCAAAAATCCCTTAATTCCTGAGGATTTTGGAAAAAAGTTTTTACATGAACATGTGTATATTATATGAAGTATATTGATAAGGTAAAAATCAAATTTTATTGCATATTCATCGAGAAAATAAACTAACGAATCCCTCAAAATTGAGAGGGTAATCCTCCTCCTCTCAAATAAACGTACATACGGGTGCACCCTTAAAATATATATTACTCAAAATTATCTATACCTGATTTTCAATTGTGCTGAGCCTTCTCAAAGGTTACAAACGTGACAAAATTGTGTGTAACGGCCGATGAGTAGCCTTGAAATAAGCATTTAATAATTAAAATTTATTCCAAAGAATTTGAAAAATCGACGGAAATTTCTGAAAATTACACATTATTTTTCAAAACGAGATTTTTCTGAGCCAAGGAAATTGTTTTGATTTACTTCCCTTTATTAGTTATAATTTTCAAAATTTGGTTACGACTGACAAAAAATTTGTAAAACTCTATAGCATAAAAAAATGGGTGCTAGAGCAGGTCCTCCTGATGGTTCTGAAGAATCAAAGAAGGAATGGGGTAAGTATGAGTATCCAGGTGATGTTAAGCACATGAAATGCCATAATTGTTTCTGTGCAATCGTATTTTTAATTTTATTTGGCTGCATGATTGCACTTTTAGTCATTGGTGTCCTCCGCGCCAAGGTCTGGACACTAACAAAATCATGGGATACCCATGGTTTCTATTGTGGATTCGACAATTCACAGCTAAATATCAAAGGTGCTCCAGAAGGCCTTGTTAAGCCAAATTTAGTCGACTATCCATACTTATTCTTCGATGCTCTTAATGTTACTCGTCAAATATGTGTTTCAAAATGTCCTACAAATGGAGATTTACAAGCAATTATTAAGCATAACGTTACTAAGTCCGAAAACGTTACATACCTTGATAATACAACCTACAACACAAACTACTATCCAGATGCCAACGAAACTTACGAATACAAGACAACAGTAGTCTTCAACAGATGTATCCCAGAAGTTAACCTCGAAGAAGACCTTATCAACGGCACACAGTTCATCGATGGCTTGAAGCAAGCATTAGATGCTATTCCAGCCCTTTCCAGTGCCTTGAATTCCGTATTCAATCTAAAATGGCAGATTCTTGCATGTTCCGCCGCCTCTCTCATTGTTGGCTTAGTTTGGATCATGTTACTACGTTGCATTACAGGCTGCATAGTCTATTTCGTCGTAATGCTCGTTCCTATTGCTCTAATTGGCTTCGGTGTCTGGTTATTCATGAAAGGATCATTAATGGGCACAATATCCGAGGTAGTTAAAACAAAGAAACTTACAGGATCGCAGATAACCGCTGTAATTGTTTGGGTTATTGCATTCATGGTCATTTTGATCATTATCTTCCTTTGGAGCAAGCTAAAATCCACTGTAGCCATCATTAAAGTTGCCGCCAAAGCTCTTGGTCATAACTTCATGGTCATATTTGTTCCAATAATTACGATGATCTTTGCTTTTCTTTTATGGGCCGCATTATTAGTTTCTTCTGTAACTCTTTATACATCAGCTGATTTCAAGTACTGGGTTGATGATGATGGTCTCGATAAAGGCATTGGACAAATCAAATTTGATTTGAACAAAGTTCTTCAATACATGTTGATATATAACTTTGTTTATTTAGTTTTTATTTCAGTTCACATGTATTTTGTTAATTATTATGCATCTAGTGTTACATTAGTTAAATGGTATTTCACGGGGCAAGAAGGAAAAACATGTTGTGGCTGTACTTGTTTTTATGGATTTTGGCTTGCATGGACGAAAGGATTAGGAACTATTACTATTTCTAGTTTGATTATGACACCTCTTTATTTGTTTATTATATTCATGGAATATTTGGATAAGAAATCCAAACAGGAAGGAGCACCAATAATTGTTCAGTTCCTCATTAAATGTTTGAAATGTTGTTTGTGGTGTTTCACAAAAATTGTTCAATATTTGAACAAAGTATTATTCACAATTCAACAGATATTTAATACTAATTGGGGTCCGTCTGCTAAATTAGTTATTGATGTAGTTGTTTCTGATACTCTATTGACAATTATGTTGAATGGAATTTCTTTCTTCATTTTGTTCTTGTCGAAAGTTGTTGTTTCTATTATAACAACGCTTGGTTTCATGATATGGGTCTATTACGTAAAGAAAGACTCAATTGCTGGTTCAATTTTGGCTGCAGCTGCTGTTTTCTTCCTTTCTTATATTGTGTCTTCTTTCTTGTTGTCTGCTTTCGATAATATTATTGATATTGTTTTCGTTTGTTACCAATCAGAAAAATCTATCCCTGGATATGAAGCTGGCGATGCTTCTAAGATGGTCAACCAGACAATTACTGATATGAAGGGTGCTCACGAGAATGCCAATACAAGCAGCAAAGTTTCAGCTGAAAAATTGGAAGATGAAAATGAAATGAAAGAATAAGTGAATAATGTTTGTTATAAAAAATATATTGATTTTTATTCCATTTTACAAAACAATTTTTTTAGAACTGATCTAAAATCAGTAGAAATAGTCATTAATTGATATAATGATTATGATGAGACATCTAAATATGTGAGCTCTAATCAAATTAAATTTGATACATTATTAATATGCAGATCACATGATTTCAAGATAAAATTATGATATCGTTGATTATTTTCTAGATATTTAGTATTGTTTTTAAACATGAGAAGTAAATCGTTAAGTTGATACAGATATAATGCTACTAATATATGTTGATATATTTATAATTATATAATCCATTTAATCAAAAACTATGGTTGGTTTAAAACTTTGGAAAATAAACTTCTTTTATATATCATTAAAAAAATTATTATTTGATTCTGCTGTATAATTGATAAATTTTTGGAATAAATCATAGAATAACAAAAATAAAAAGCATTTATCGATTTAGAATAGAATAAAATGGCTTTATTTCTATATTTATTTTGAATTTTCAGAAAAATCACCATAATTTTAATTACAAAAAAATCGAGAATTGTTAAAAACGTTATCATTTTCTTGACAAATTGTTCAGTCATTTTTTAAATTAGAAAAAATTTGGAATAATCCACTAAAGGAGGCTTCATTCTAGATGTCCAAGACAATTGCTACACCTCAAGAAAACATCGAAATTTTTAAATATCAATATCGATTTTCATCAATCACTTAATATCGACTGTTTACAGTTAATTCCATCGCGCATTATCAAATTATAGTATATTTGAACACACAAAATATAGTATTTAAAATTTATCGAAATTTCAAGAAATTTAACAATATTCCAACTTTCATACACAAATATTATTACCAAAATCTTATTGTAAAAAGAAATGATTAACATAATCTAAGATCTAACGATTTTTTTACCCAATCCTAAAAATCTTTTTAATTACCGATCATTATTTGGGCATATTTTATATGCAGATGTAGAAAGAGAAACAAGCAAAGCGATGCTTAAACAAATTCCTGAAGATGGCCAAATCAATAAACAATTTACTTTCTTAACATCGAATTTTGCTCCTTTTGAGCGATATTTTTCGTTTGATTTCCATACTATTACTATGCTTCACATGTCAAGCATATTGGATACAATTTTGGTTGTTATCTTTCCTTTTGTGATTGAGTAACCAAAATACTGGGAGAAGAATCATGTGGTAAAGAATATTATTAAAACGGACAGCAACTATCTATTATATGTTCTTAATTTTGATAAATATATTTGTTATCAAAATATGAGAATTTGCATAAATATATTCAATAGCCCATCATTAAAATGCTCCAAAATAATTGAAAACATGAGAAATATTATCTTTCCTCCATATTGAATAAAATTTTGTTTAAAATCAAGATTAAAGTCATCGGTTGTCAAATAGTCATGGTTTATTCAAGATTTTATTAGTTTGTCACGCTAATTTTATTCATTTTTATCTAAGTTTCTGTTCACCTTATTCGGAATTCATGACAGAAAGTTTTCTGAACGAAATAATGAATCACACTGTTACGAAGAAGTACTCAAAGCAGGATATAATGCACATTTTGGATAACTCCGTTCTAAATTTCGATCAAGCAACTTTATTGATTTACGAAGTATCCGAAACATTTAGTCAAGCAGATATTTTCAATTTGTTGAAGCATATTTCTATTAATTTCAACAGCAAGTTCGAAGCATTACAAAGTTTTCTAGTTTTATTAAGCATTAAACTAGAAATTCCGTTCTTTAAAGACTTATCAACATATTTGCAAGATAACATGAATGCAAAATCCCAAGTCGCTTCTGCAATTCAAGAAAAAATTAATCTCCTTACAAATCAAAACAACGCTATCTTATCACAAATTTCAGTACAACTTAACTCTCTTAAGAATGCAACAGTATCTGCTGAACCAAAAGAACAAAAACCACAACCTACCAAGATTTCAAATGAAAATATCAAACAACTCATGCAATATGAGAAGGATAAATCTCATTACGCTTATATATACAAAATTTTAGAGAAGAGTGCCAGCGAAAATGATAAAGAAGCTCTGAAATTTTCTATTGATTCGAAATACGCTGAAATCACCGATGATTTCCTGGATAACATGCTTCTGAAGGCAGCAGACCTAAATAACTTACAATTAGCGAGATATCTCGTTGAACTTGGAATGGATCCAAACGTTACAAACAGAGGATCATTAACACCTCTTCACTACTTCTGTAGAAATGGAAATCTAGAAGCGGCAAAGTTTTTCTGTAGTCTCAAAGGAATAAACGTAAATGCAAAACATTATCAAGGGTGGACTCCTTTGCACTACGCTTGCTTTGAATCAAATATCCCACTGGTTGAGTTCCTTGTCACTGTTGATGGTTTAAGAATCAATGAAACAGATAATTACGGAAATACTCCATACCAAAGTCCAACATCCCCTAAAGTAAAAGAAATCCTTTCTTCAAAGGGAGGAAAATAAAAAATTATAAAAATAAATAGTTTAGTTTTGAATTTTATTTTTGATATTTTTTTTTTCTTAAAAGAATAGAAGTAATGTTTACTCTCAAATGATTTGCGCATATTTGTGAATCTAATGAGATATGATTAAAAAAAATTACAAATTATCAAAAAACTATAGTTTATTCATAAATGCTTCAAAATGCATGTCAAAACAGAAAATGGAGAAAAGCCATGTCTCTTGACATAATCATTTGAAGATGCAGACAACAAGGTAATTATTGCATATCCATCACCTGAGTTTTTACCTTCAGCAAGGTTTCCATTAGAAATCTCGATATCTTTGATTTCGCTAATTTCTGATGGTCTATTTTCTGAATAAAAAAATCCAGAGCCACCGGCGCCAGAAGCTCCGTCCTTTTCTCCGCAGCCTCCATCAAATAACCCACCACCGGATCCTCCATGAATTCCTATGCGATGAAATTCACACCCACTCCCAAATGATCCATTTAGATATCCATGCCCCCCTCCTAGTTGAGTCCCTCCTTCTATATCTGTTTCACCACCTTTTCTTCCTTTTTCCCCACCTCCAAAACCACCTTGCAGCTCTACATATTCATGAAGTTTTTTCGAATCGATATAATCAGGAACTTCGCTTTTAAAATAACCTCCTTGTGCCCCTCCACCACCCGCAATCAGAAATCGTGTGCCGAGATCGTTTTCTGACATTCTGAAGTCAGTTCCCCCACCCCCAGGACCCAATTTGAATCCACACCCTCCGCCATTGAACGAAGCTTCACTTTGTCCATCGTCAGTCCATTTTCCTTGAGAACCAATAAAGAGATATAAAGGAATTGTTTTGGTAATGGTGATTTCTGCAGACCCGTAACCGCCTAATCCTCCTTTTTGAGAGCCACTATCTTGAGATCCTTGAGCTCCAAAGACTTCAAATAAATAATGACCAACTTTAAGCTTGATTTCGAATCCTGAACAGTTTTGTTTATTAGTGCATGGATAACGAAATGTAACTGAAGTAGAATTAATTTGGGTATTTTCATCATCAACATTTTCATTATTTATAATAGAATACTGTCCAAAATTAAAATGAGTTGCCATTTTTTAATTAAAGAATATAGATATCCTTCGCAAAAGTATATGAAACACTAATGAAAAAGGACCATTTGAATTGGAATGGAAATTCCTTATTCAGTCCCTTATATTTTTAAAGACTTGAAAATTCTTTAAAGTCGTCTTGTCAGAAATAAAAAGAAGGTTAATTTTTTTGATAAAAAAAAATTCTATAGATTTTTAATGATAAACAGGGGAATTATTTCCTTATATAACGCAAAGAAGAACTTTAATGAATATAAGATTTTTTGCAAGGTTAATTATCGTCTGTGTGACCAAGTAAAAACTATCGTCAAACCCAAAGCATGCGTTAGTACACATAAATAACTATATTATTATTATTTATAGAATTTCGATGACAAGAATAGTCCAATAATTCGATTCAAGATAAAGCCGATAACAATTTATGCTTTCAATTTTAGAATTGAATTGAAATTATACCTCGGTCCCTTCATAAAATTAATTAATTCAAATGTTAACGAGGATAAAAATTTGACCATTATAATTAATACTGTATTTGCATCTGGAATCCATCGAACCAATATCAATTTTTTTTGAATGCATTTTCAATTTTGGTAAATTTCATTTATTAATATTAAATGAAATCTATCTAAAATTATTATTTATATTCTAATAAATTCAATTTTGAGAAGGTGCTTGATAAACGACATATTATATTGCAGCTATCATTGAATTGTAAATTGATAAATTATATAATTATAAATAATCTATTCAAATTTATATAAAAACCGTACGCTCTCTCAAAAATAATAATTCAATATCGACTTTTTGATCGTAATACTATTAAGTATTCATTTTTGAATATGAACACATTTAATGATTGTTTTTTTGATAATCCAAAGTATAGCAATTAGCTATAATTGGAAATTATTCTCTAGTGATTACAGAAGTAAAATAAAACTTGAATGGCACGAGTTTTACGAAGAAAGAAATAATAGTTTTTATAATGGCAATATTGCAGGCAACCAAAGATACTACATTCTTGATATTGTATCAGCAAATAGTAATCGAAGGTTTCTTTCATATGAGTCAAGAAGTGGATCTTCCGTTTTTTGTAATAATTCTTATAATGGTCAAGGATGCAATATATATATTGTAAAAGGTAATATTGTTCAGAAAAGAGTTTGTTCATTTCACTGCTCAGCTTCCGGTTACGGTCAGCATTGCTGGATTAAGAACCAATATACTGAATTAGAGAAGAACTATAATATCGAATCATCATATACACATTTCGGCAATTCAAGGAAAGGGGCACCAATCTGCCATTCTTACGGTGAAGTTATTATTAAAATGGTTAATATTTCATATTGTATGATACATGAGACTTCAGGATTATGGTTAGAGGATATGCAATATAATGGAAATGTAACTTATACATTATTTTCATCTAATAATGCGAGAGATGATTTTTGCCTCAAATTGAGTCATTCATCAAGTTATAAAATAATATGTTGTCAAATTATTAATAACTCTGTTTCTACATATTTAATTTCAGCTAATAGAGGAACTTTTACATTTATTAATTGCACAATTATCAAGAACAATGCAACCGAAATATTATATATAGCTCGTACTGGAGATTTTAAATTTTTCAACTGCACGATTGATTGCAATGTTCCTTCTCGATTCATACATTCAGATGATAAATTAGACTCTTTTTCATTTGAAAACGAATTAATCCATATTGGAACAGAAGGATGTTATCCAAAATTTAGTTTGAAATATCAAAAAACCAGACAAATTGATTTAACGAGGTCATTACTTAAAAATCCAGGTAGTAAGAGTCATTCTTTATTTAGAAAATAAGCATTATTGTATTTTCATATTACGCTTTCTTCTTTTCAAATATAATATAAAATCATATTGTTCATATCATGTAAATTATTCATTATAAACTAATAAAAAGTGACAAAACCATCATTTTCTGATCAGAATATCGATCTTAAATAACTTTTCAAAATCTTGTATTGTGGTTTGCAAAATAGATATTTAAAATATGATCTTAATTGAAATTCCTTAAATCAAATTTCCATGATAAAGACAACCTATCTTTGAATACCAAAATTAAATATGATAAATCGAAAAAATTCCGATTGGAGTGAATTCTATGATGATAACAATTACAGCTACTATAATGGTACAATTGATTACAATACAAGTTATTATATTTTCAATGCTGTCTTTTCAAAATTTCATGATATAGTGCTTCTCCTTCATTCGAGCTCATCATCATCAAATATCCTTATTGAATCTACTCTATTCCATACGAATGAAGCTGCGGGTCTCGGCTGTAACATTCATTCATCCGGTCTCGGAAGTATCATACAGAAAAGAATTTGCGCATATAATTGCACAAATAAAGGAATTGGTCAGCATTGCTATATTCTAAATTGGGATTCTTCTATATCGAAAAACTATAATATTGAGTCATCATATCTGAATTTAGGAAATTCGATAGGACAAAGTACAATATACCATGGATCAGGTGAAATTATTATAAAGAGAATTAATATTTCATGTAGTAAAACAGATTCTGGATCAGTAATTCAACTCGGTCAAACTAATTATGAAGGTAATATCACATTTTCTATTTTGAATAGAAATACAGCTTCATATCAACACTGCCTTCGTTTAAATAGTAATAAACCATATTCAATAATTAACTGTGATATAAAAAATAATACAGTTCTTAATCAATTTATATTTGCAGAATCTGGAGAATTTACCTTCAAAGATTGCATTATCATAAAGAATAATGCAGTAAATACTTTTTATGGAGTTGAATCTAGTAAATCCATATTAATTCATTGTTATTTGGAAATAAATGGGACATTTGAATTTGTTGAAATTGAGAGTCTCTCAGCAAGCTCTTTTGAAAATGAATTATACTTCTTTAAAACAGCAGAGTGCAATGTTGAAAAAGATTTATTGGAAATGAATTTGCATTCTAAGCTCATATCTTTGTTTAAATTAATGTTATGTAAATTAAATTTGATTCCTACGCTCCTTAAATAAATATTTTCAATTAATACGAAGATTTGCAAAAATACTGATGAAACTTAAGAGGATTGTATTGTAGCTACCTATTCTACAATTCTTGATTGAATATGGTATAAAATCAATCCAATTTCCATTATTTGGAACCATTGAATTTTGTATATCTAAAAAGTGACAAAATAATCTTAAGGCTCCAGTCCCACCCTTTCAATTTTTAAAATTGAATATATCCGTCAATAAGAGTTTTCATGACTTATAATTAAAGATATTATATTAGTGTAATATAAGCTATCATATTATATTATGACGTAGGGTGTAGCATTGCTAGAACGTTATTTGTAAATTTCACTATTATCAACTTTGAACGATATAATTCATCCTATAAACAAAAGGACTCTGTCATGTTGTAGGATATTAGTATAGTATATTATTTATATTAGTAAACATGACTTTTACTTTTCCCTGATTGAGTTATTTTTTTAACAAAGAAAAATGAAAAAGTTACTTTTTGACAAAATCTAATAATAAGTGATCCATAATTTTATTATTAATAAACATGTTACTACATATTCTTTAGATATATCTAAACATTGAATAGCATTAGCTTCTTTCGATTTTTATCAAAGTATATAAAATTACCACCTGAAAAAAATTGACATATTTTGACAAAGAAGAAAAAACTTTTAGTTCCGCTCTGTCACTTTGTTAGCATGCTAGTGATGTTTATTATTATATCTTAGTTTAATTTTATATATAAATGAGGAATGAGGAATTAGATTCGCAATACCATCACGAAAATAGCATTTTTAAAAGCTTGTAATTCTATATGAGATAAATAGACATGAAAAGTAAAATCTGATATGAATATAATTTAATATGAACTATTATATTATAGTTGAGATTGTTTGTCAAAACGGTTTTTTGACAAGTGAGTATTCAATTTTTCAAAAGTATATTCAAAAAATTGAATGATATCTCAACGTATAAGGAAAAAACTTTTAGTTCCGCTCTGTCACTTTGTTAGAAAAATTATATAGTTTCTATCGACACTATCAGTATACCCAGCTGTGAAAGGTATATTGAGGAATTAGGTTTGCAAGATTGTAATTTTTGTTATTTTTTTCCAAATTGAGAGGATTTTTGACGATAGAGCTGGACTATTTTTGAACAACAATTTCATTACCTTATGCTTTATAAAAATTTGAACAAATTTTATGGCGTAATAGTATAAGTTATAATTTATTAATTTCAAAAAGAAATGACCAAAAAATTCCTTTCCAATATGTTGAATCAAATCGATTTTATAAATAAAATTTAAACCTTAAACTCGATTTTTATAAAAGTGACATTTTTTAACTTTCAATAACTTAATCCCATGGTAAGAAGCTAATCTAATCATAAAAAATGTTATAATTAACCACATGTTTATTCATTTATGATATCATTATGCTTCAAAATCTATAATTCTAAAATTCAAATTATCAATTATCAAAAAATCTTTATTTGTCATATATCAAATTGAAAAGTTAACATAAATCATCTTTCAAACTATAATATAGTTAAATTAGAAAATTTCGAAATCAGATATTATTTAAATTTCTGACATGGTGGATGTATACACAATCTAATGGTATATTTTTGCTCCTCATTATCCACTCGTTCTAACTATATACAACAATCATATGGAACTAGAGCCTTAAATGAGGATAACAAATGCATAATAGCATTTCCATTGCTTAAACTCGCATTACTTACATAACAATATCATACTTATATATAAAACAGCACAAAACAGCTTCTTGTTTGATTGAATTTAAATTAAATAAAAATGATCCTTGATCGAAAATATAGGAACGATGGAATATATACATTATTTGATTTTCGTTCTTACCAACTTGTTTTTGAACACAACTTTTCAGCTTCAACAAATTGTTTTCGTGATATTGATGAAGCGAAAAATGCTAACACAGTTGGAAAGCTCTCGATATTATATGACCTCAATAATCCCAAATACATAATGAAAGATAGTTTTCGGCATTTTATAATTGAGTATCCTGAGTTGAAATATATCAATGCATGGAAACAGAAATATTCACCTACAGAAGAATGGGAAGTCCCAAATCGATATGCAGCAACTGGATTTGTTGCACAAATCACAGAAATTAAAATGGATGAATGGGGTGGACTTGTCCGTACTCACATACCAGATGGTACTGTAAATGCAGTTTGTAATTATCTTGATGGAAATCCAGGAAGAAATACTTGGTTCTTTAGCATCGGTATGTTATGCAATGCTCCTTCAGATCGCAAATATGTAGCTTTGCCTGCAAGTAATGTAACAGGTGTCAAACGAGTAAGTCTTTGGAGTGCTATAAAAGATTATTCAATTAAATATTCATGTATATGCTCTATATATAATACATTTTCTTTTGAATACTTAACATTAATATTTATTTGTGCATAAAAAAATTATTAAAAAATAATAAATGAATGTGCTCAGAACAGTATTTGAATTAAATCTTATTATATATAATTATAGATCCGTATTTTTCTCCCTGATCGACTCAAAAATGGTTTTTTATAAGGGTCTTGCAAATCTAATTCTTCTTTTATATATTTTTTGGAAACAAACTCACTAGAGAGAGGGTCAAAGTTGCTATTTGTCACTTTTCCACAAGAATATAATGGGGAAAAAGTTATCATATAGTTGATCTCATTCACTGAGGTGAGAGATGCATGTAGTGTAATGTGATAAAGAGTGGGATTGCTGCTCTAAGTCCTAGGTTCGAGACACATTGGCTTCATTTTTCTCTTTTTTATTGACGTAAACTATTCAATTTTTGTGTTCTCCATTCAAATTTCAGAATTTTTTTGCAGATTTCACGCTACATTCGAAGTTACCTTTTGTAACAACCACCACTGCCTACGAAAGACGAAAGTGTGTCACGATTTCACCCGGAAATCCGACGGTTGTTTAAGAGTATGCACTTTTGTCACCTACTCCAAACTCACTATATCAAAATAACCTTTAGTTGCAATCTAACAATTTGTTGAAGGGGAACTGAGAGTTTTTTCTTGATGATCAAGATATGACAAAAAATATTAATATACAATTTTTTTTTTAAAATTCGACATATATGCCTTTTCATCGACCTTAGCGATAAAGTAAAATTAAATGATTATACTAGATTCTGATAGCATATATAAACCTTATCATATTATTAAAACTTTTATAAATCAAAAATCTTTAGATTCTGCCAAAAAGTGATTGAAAATCAAGTTTACTAATAAGAATATAATGTTTCACTAATATGTTATAAAATGTCGTGGGCTTTTTGGATTATAAATACTTTTACCGGTCAAAGTTGAAATTTGACAAAATATCAAATTCTCATATAAGATGAACTATAATAGTAATACTCAGTTTAAATATATCAAATTATAGTGTATTGCATAATGATATTAGATACCAAAATAAATGTATCAAAAGCACATATTGGCGGAAATATTAAAATTTCAAAATTGAGAGGTTGAGATAGGAGCCTTAAAAATTTTATGCATCTCTGCAAATTTTTATAAATACTGATGTCATAACCTTCTTGACATATCTATTAATTCATAATTTTCAATTTTCTCGTTAATTAAATGAAAATTAAAAGTTGTGCAATAAGGTCGTGAGCAATGTTTCCATTTTTTGAATTTTCAAGAAATTCCAGAAATTTTTCAGAGAATATGCAGTGAAATTGGTATCATTACAACGTGCATTTGAGGAGATGGTTAATTATCAATAATATCCTCGATTTAATGAATTTTCATGGTTTTCAACTTAAAAACCAATTCTTGATCATGTCAAATTTTACATTCCGGAACAATAATGTAAAGAACTCATATATCCGGGTGCCAAATTTGACTCAAGAATTCCATATTATGCTATGAATAAATATGACAGGCTTGGAATTCCGAAATCAAAAATTTCAAGTCGCCTCAGTTTTTCAAAGCCCTTCTACTTAGATTTTGTGGCGATCTTAGATTATCAAAAAGTGACAAAAATGTTTTATTACTCAATTTCAAGGGATTACATCACTTGATAACGATGATGAGCTTTCAATTTTGGTTAAATAATCTTGCGCTTAAATACTATGTTCACACACAAAAAAAATTTGTATTCTAAACGACGTTGTAATCCTAATTTTCAGTTATTATATGAAAATAAGCTTTTGCATTCTAAACTACTTTGTAGTCCTAATTATTTCAAATATTTTTATGTTTTATAGGAAAATGAAGCATTTCTTGAGCTTTTTCTTCGATTCAGGTCCAAATATGGACATTTGGAGACTATTTTATGAGAATTCAGTTATTACAGAAAATCACACTGAAAACAAAATATTAAATCCAACAGAAGTAGGAAATTATTATGTTACCAAATGCTTTTTCAATGGAATTGAAAATATTGTTATCAATATTGATATCGCTGATCACACAAAACTTCTTATTTCTATATCTGGATTCAATGGCACCAAAACTCCATCTCAAACAGTTTATTCCAGATTTGGAAGTTGTATTGTCTATCGGATATGTGTCACAAAATCTATACAATCATCATCTAATGATGGAGTATTTTTAAAGTCAACAATAACATATTTAAAATCAAAAAACAAAATCATTATTGAAGATTCAACAGTCTTTGATTGTGGAGATATGGATAAAGGAGGTTCAATTAATTTTTTAGAATACGGAAATCTTAGTTATTCACGAAATAACATAACAAATAACAAATGTAAAGATGATGTTTCACTTCAAATTTATTCAGATCAGAGATACAACATCAGTCAATCATCTTTCATTGATAACAAAGCAAACTCTAGATGCTTTTATAATTTGTATAGTGGTCCACATCAATTTTATTTATGTAATATCATTAGAAACAATGGTAATAAATGTTTTAATTTATGGAAAGTAATAGTTACATTTGAATCTTGTTCAATCAAAAATAATAATTGTCCACAAACATTTTATTTATATTCATCACCAAATTCAGCTACAATCATCAATAGTGATTATGATGGACAAACAACTGATAATGTAGAAGTACAAAGTCCAACAAACAATATCTACAATGAATTATCACATCTTTCTACAAGACTTTGTGAAGCAAAAAATAAAATTGAAAATAATTTTGAAGAAGAAAATGACATAAAAAAATTCAACAATTTGAAAAATTTATGCACCTCTGTAAATTTTTTCAGATGCCAAAGTCATCACATTCTTGACATATCTCTTATTTCATCATATTCAATTTTTTCATTAATTAAATAAAAATTAAAAGTTGTTCAATAATGTCTTGAGTAATGCTTTCAATTTTTCCTTCCATTTCATTTTTAATGTTGGTGGGAGATGAGGGTGCTTGATCATGCTCAGAGAAGAACCATGCGAAGGTAAAGCATCATAGCAAGATGGATTCCTATCTCGGAATACTCTTGTCAGATATTCTCAAATTATTTCAACCTGATATCTGATTCCTAACAATTCATCAAATATCTGAATGTGTTCTCAGCTTATAATTTTGTTTTCTATATAACCTATGCATATTTATTTAATGATGTGCCTTTTCATACAGAATTCTTGAAAATTCTTTGTATTTTCAAGAAATTGCAGAAATTCTTCAGAGAATATGCAGATAAAATGGTACTATTACAATGCACATTTGCAGGGATAATTAATTATCAATAATATCCCCGATTTGATGAATTTTCATGTTTTTTCAGCTTAAAAGGCAGACATATTGCTATTTAACTCAAATTATGCTATGAATAAACATTTATTTTGATATATGGCCTCTAATTAAAAGGAAATTTTAGTCAACAGATTTTATTCCCAAAAGGAAGATATGTACTGAGTTACTATCATTAAAGGCTTTTTTTAATGACATCCACCTATCAAATGGTCTATTTAACATTTGAATCAAAAATGGTTGTAGGATTTCAATAGAACGAAGATAAAAATATGATTTATTTAATTATTATTTATAATGAATAGTATTAGTATGTTCGTCATAGAGAAGAAATGTAACAGGTGAGTTAGAGACATAGTCGGCTGACATGATGAAAAGACTGTGATCCGGTTCAACACATTCATAACAGATAACAAAACCATCATCGTTACCAATATAAAGATATCGATGTGAAACACTGAAATGACCACATGTCAATAAACAATCAACACGTGATTGTGTACTGATACTACGAATAAATGTACAGTTGTATGTGTAAAATAAAACACTAACATCTGTACCAAAAATAATACAACCAACTTCGTCATCAAAAAATGCACAGTTGCATGAAAGATTTAAAACATGTTCAACATGTGATGTAGATGGACACCAAAAATAAACTTTGTTTCTAGTGCATGTGCAAACAAGGATCTCTTTCTTGCTGATGATACTAAACATAACATCATCAAAGTGATGTTTGTTGATAAATCGGAATGATGTGGCTCTCTTGTTATGTTCATTGTATGTGATATTGTAGAAATGAACATAGTCATCATACGTATTAACACAGAAATATAATTTGTTTTCACATAACAATATTGATTTGACATCTTTCATGTGTTGACTGTAAACAATGCATCCTTGATAATAAAGGTCAATTGAATGTCTTTGTAATGAATATCGAACAAAAACATCTGATCGATCAATGTATTCTTCTGGTGAAAGAGATGGATATTGATATCTCTGTTGATTGTTTTCAATGTGTATTTGTTGGTCAAATACTTGAATTGGAACACTTCCACAGTTCATCATCCATGTGTGACGTTGATTATCAACAAAATTGAAATTACTATTGTTATTGTTGTTATTTGTATCAATGTCAATAACTGGATATGAAAGGGGATTGAAAACATTGAATGATTCAATAGATGTTTGTTTGTGTCCAAAAACAAGATCAATCCATGAAATGATGTCTGTCTTAGTTTGTGATTCAAGAATACTTCTGTGTCGTTCAATAAAATCAACTGAGTTTTTACACCATGTTGGAAATTCAAGAATAAGTGAGTCAAAATTGTTCTTGTTATCAAAGAGTTCACAAAAACAATACATGTCGGGTGTGATCTCAAGTGTTGTCTTCTGTTTAACACTAAGATGGAATGGAATTGATCGGAAAACACGATCGCCTTTGTCCCAGCCATCGTTAAGTTCCCAAAGTGAAAGACAGAATGGTGAGTAACGAACATTAAGCATGCAAACAAAGATAGAATTTGAAAGATTCTCGGAGTGATGATATTTGTGCATCTTGTATATCTTATTCAGTTTGTCTTCTTGAACTGTTTTGTCAAATGATGTCTGAACAACAACTGATAAATCTCTCCTGTTTTCAAAAGAGTATTTTTTGTTCATGTCTTTAACAATACGTGGATAAATTGGATAACCACTAAGATCTAATGTTGACCGTTGGCCTAATAAATTGATTTGATATAAAAAGTCAAATGTTGATATCTTGTTTTGTTTCCATGTTTCAAAAACTTCTTTCTTGTTCAAACAAAATTCTTTAATTTTGTAAATTTCTTCAAAAATAGGTTCTTCATAAAATTCCAGAATGAATGAAGATCCAGTAGTGCTGTAAACAGTAATTGAATATGGATTAGATAAAATAACATGTTTCTCGATCTGTAAAATATCATCAACAATCAAAACAACACGACCTAAGAAAAATGAACACTTACCAATTTCTTTCAACAATGAAATCTGGATCAAACTATCGAAAAATAGTGGATTTGGAGTTTCAAATATGATGTCGTCATTGACATATTCTGCACCAATCAAAATAATAATAGATGTTTTCTTCTTGATAGCAATACATTTCATTCGGATGTCAACACGAACAAAAATACAGTTTTGAATAGTTCTGTTTTCGTCAATTTTGTAGATTTCTTCAAAAAGTTTCATCTTGTTAGTCGTTTCTTCATGGACAACAAATGGGTATTGAACAAGATAGTTAGGAATGTATTCACTAAGTTTGTATGAATAGTTTGTGATTTCACTAAATCCAAAAAGAGGAATAACATTTCGAATTTGGTATTTCTCTTCTGTTGGATGTGGTAATCGGAATGGAGATCGAGAAATCAACATTCTAAAATAAATCGGCAAACAAAGATGAGAAACAAAATATGAATGAGTTCGTTCATTGAGTTCTTCTTCACTAAAAACATCGGAAAACAAATAACTGTATTTTCGTTGTAAATAATGAATACAATGTTTTTCTTCTTTCCGATTATAGAAATTAATATTTTTGTAAAATGAAACAAAAAATGTAATGCCATATTCGCTGATCTTCTCGTTGAAATCATAAAGAAAACTTAAAAAGCGAATCTCATTGAAAACTGCTGATGTTTTAAGATTACAAAGATCACCTTTGTTGCTCTTTCGTTTCTCAATGATATCAAACTCGTTGTTGAACTTGTTGAAATCAAATGAAATAATGTCTTCAAATGAATTAGAATTCTTTGTGAGATGAACAAATTCTTCATCATGAATCCATTCGGAAACTTTCTGTTGGAATTTCTTGAAGAATAAATGATTGAATGATGCATCAATATTCTTGGATCTCAAAACAACTAAAACAAACAAAAATAATTCAACTGTGAATTCTTGGACTGATGCAACAATTCGTTGAAGTTCAATCTGTTTGTTTATATTGCTATCATTGTATATTTCTCTGAAGTTGTTGATAAAGAATTTAGTCTTGTTTGGATAATTCAACAACTTGTCTTCTAATGTGTTGATGATGTTTGATTCATAAAATTCTTCTTTCTTATTGTAATAAAAGAATGATAAACTGTCTGAATACAACTTGATGTATTTGTCATTAGAATTCCAAATCAAATTGATAACATTAGAAATGAATTTAGATGTAATCTCTTTGTGACCGTATAAAATAACTGTCTTCATAAATAAACTAAAGTTCTTTTCATCACTTGTCAATAATCGAATGGAAAAATTAGAAATAAATTTGACACAGTTTTGAATATATAACTGTGAAAGATTTCGTTTTTCTTTATTATCGAAAACTAAATGTGGTTCTGAAACAGAAATTGATGGTGGATGGATTGAGTCACTATTGATGAAGTTTGCTTCACTCTTAGATAAATTTTCCATGTTTGAAAGTTTGTTATCAATGTTTGCAAAACTACTATCACTTTGAAGATCTAAAGATTCATTCGTTGTCTTATCTTTAGTCTTATGAATCAAAAAGTTGATGAATTGATAATTATTTTTGATTTGAATGTATTGTTGATCTTGTTGACATAATTGATCAACATTATGAAATTCTTCGTATGTGATATCAATGTCTTTGTTTGTGAACAATTCAACTAAATATCCAAATGTTGGATATGTGAACAATGCATGGAAATTAAAATCATTGGAACTGAAGATAGACGAAATAAATAATAAAAAGATTTCATCTTTCGATTCAAACAAAATTCGGAATAATGACAAAAAGATAGATAAAGAATGAGGACTTGTGATTTTACCACATTTATCAACTGTGACTTCTTTTCGACATAAAAATGTTAAGATCTTGTTCCACATGCTTTGATCTGTGGCAACTTTTTGTAAACCGCGAATAACAATTGGAAGATTTTCACTAACAAATTTTTCATCTTCTAAAATAGTGAACAGTAATTTCTTCTTCATCCCATCTGAAACATGAAGTGATAAATAAGCACGGAAATGATTTCGAATCAAGTCTGATTTTTTAGATGATTGGATATTAATAACCATCCTCAACAATTTTTCTTGGAGCTCAGAAAATCGCATGTCACTTTGTAATAAACAACCATTATCTTCATCTTCACTTGTTGGCATCAAGATCTCACTTTTAGAAATGATTTCACTCTTGTTAGTGTTAACTTCATTTTTAACATTATTGTCTGGATTGATAAGTAATTCTTTTGTTAATATTCGGTCAAAGTTCTTACAAAGTAAGTTGAATGATAATGTTTTTTGAAGAAAGTCTCGAAATGAATTATTATCACAGCAGTTGTTCAAAATAACATTGAAGAAATCAAAGATGCTGTTCTCTAAGTCGTTGAATGATTGATTTGATAAGATGAAAAAGAAAAGTTCTGAAATGTTTTTGTAGAAAATGTCCCAGTTGAATGTTTTAACATTTAACAGCATAGACATCAAGCTTTTGATGAATTCTTTAAGTAGGTCATGATTACAAATGTTCCACAAATTATAATCATTAACCAAAATGGATAATCTGTTTGAAACTTCTTCACTATTATCCGATGATGAAATACAACATGCAGCATATAACATCAAGAAACTCAGATCAAGTTTTTCGATTGATGAAACTAATGATCTTTTGAATTTCTTAAAAAACCAATCTGAAAGACTTTTGGAAAACAATGGTAACTGTGAGATAAAAGAAAGTTGGAAACCAATAACTTTTTTATCTTCTGTTTCGAAAATTTTGTCAAATAAATATTGAAGATTTCCTTTATCGAAGAAAATAGAATTGAATGATTGACATGGAACATAAATAGTGTTTCCTTTCATTTCAATGATTGTTGATGGCTTCAAATCTAATGTTTTCGATTTAAGTTGTGATGGAGGGATGTTATAAGCAATGCACTCTGATAAATAGAAAATACCAGAATTATCTTGATCCTTAGAACCAATTGTTAATTCAATAGATCTAGAGTTTATATGTGTAGCAAGTTGTGAATCAAAATAAATATCAATAGATCGATCTGATTTGAAAATACCAATTGTCATCCATGTTTTAGATTTGATTTCAACAATTTTCTTGCGTTTAATGTATAAGATATTGTCTTTCTTGAGAATGAATTGTTCACCACTGATTGTAAAAAGTGGATAATCTTTCTGTTCTCGCTCAATAAAAAGTTGAAAAACAATAGAACTCAAATTTGTTGGAAATGTAGCATATGATTTGCAGAGTGATGAATGGAATTCATATAAGCCATATTCTGTAGTTCGTGATAACAGTCCAACTGATTTGACATAATCTTGTTCTAAAAGATATAATGCATCTGATGTTCGAATGTATCGTGAAATATATTGTTTCAAGTTTTTGATATCAAACAAATTATTTCCAAGTTTATGAAAAACTTTAATGGAATAATAGCCAATCAAATATTTGTTCGATGGAAGAGATGTTGTGATGTTGAAATCAACAAATGGGAGTAATGATGGGAAAATGAGTGGTGAAAATTCATCTTCTGGTAAAAATTTAGAAATGACATAACGAGAGATTTTGAAAACTGGACTAGAAATAGGTTCTTTCAAAACAAAATCATCGAATGAATGATCGTTGTATTCAAGAACATAATCTTTCATCAAAAGAAGGAAATTCATTGAGAAAACAATGTTTTCGAATGGTAATCCTGAAAAACAATCGAATTTACTAAAATATGGATAAAAGCCTGGTTCTTCAGAATTATATTTCTTGCAATAGTTGAATACTTTATCATTAGAAATGTGAATTAATAATGTTTTCACAATTGATAAACAAAAGTTGTCTGTGAATATTGGGAATACAAAATCTGTGAGAATATTGTCTTTATCATGTTCTAATGTATCAATTAATCGATCAACTGTTTTTCCTTTTGACCAATTACATCTTTTGCTGTTAAATAGTTCTTTCAATAATGGAAGAATTCCTTTTGTATTCATTAAATAGTTTGATAACTCTTCTGGTGTCTGATTATCAAATATTAATTGAATAAATCTTTCATCACCAAACTGATCTGATGTTAATTTAGTCTCTACAATCAAACTGAGTAAATATTTAAGTATCTGTTCGGTACAAATGTTTTCTTTTATTGGAGGAATAATGTTTGAAGTTAAAAATTCAACAATTCGTTTTGAATTTGTTATTATATTTGCAATGTAAAGATTTGCAACAGATGTAAATGCTCTGAAGCAATCTTCTGATTCTAAGATGTCTGGTATTATCCAATGCTCAATTTTTGCATCGGTCTCAGTAAATAATTTTTCGTTATTAAGGAGTTCAAGAATGAAAGTACGACATTTACTTTTGCATTCTTTGTCCATGTATATTTTATTCAAATGATTATACATTTCCCATGAAATTCCTTTTGGCGAACAATTTATTAAATAACCGTATAGTTCTAGAATTGGTATTGAAGCTGTTTTGATGTATTCATCGTATTTATTGAATGAATCCGTGAGATCTTTGATGATTGTAGGTCGAGTTTTGTAAATTTTTTGGATACCTTGAAAGATTAAATAGATTAATGTAATGTTTTGTTCTGGAGGGAGGTTAGATACTGTAATCATATCGATAATTGCTGAGATATCTTCTGTAATCAATGAATCTAGTGATGATAATAATGTTTCTGTTCTAATGAAAGGTAAAATTGTGTTCAAAGCAATGAGCTTGTTCTTTTTATGCAGATTTTCTACAACTAATCTAAATCCGCACTTAGATAAGAAATCACGACAATTCAATTCCTTTGAAAAATAGATCTTCAGCTGCTCCTCATCTTCCTTTGTTATCTCTGTTTCACTATCGAAGTATTGTATAATCACATCAACATTCGATAGTGCCATAAGTAAATTTGACACACTTTATTTTTCTCCAAAACAATACTACAGTTATTTATTCCCATCAATTAATATTTCACTGATTTAGCGTGTTATTAACAAGATAACGTATAAATAATGCATTCGATCTTTCCAATTTAGATGAAAATATGAAAGGTTTTAATTATTACATGTGATTAGATCAAGAATTGAAGTTATTTTTATACTAAGCTATAAGGATTGATTTATCCTGGCATATACACTGTTAATATAAATATCGATTCATTCAATTAATGATGTATATATCAAATAATTGAAACACAAATCATACTTTTGATAAAACAATTGATCGTGATGTTATTTGAATGGGAGATCAAATTAATTTCAAATGATTTTTTGTAATTAATTTTTAAAAAGTAAATTAAATCAAAAAAGACATCAAAATTGAAAGAAAATTTGGTTATTTAATTCTTAACAAACAATAAAAAAAAATTAAAATTAATTTTTGGATTTTTTTTCTTAATTAACATTATTGAGTCTCATTGCAATAGCATCAACGAATCCATTCTTACCCTGTTTAGAAACAAGTTTCTTCACTCTTGCTTCATCGAAATTGATACCGCATCTAGAGAAAATTATGCAAAGATCATCAGCATTTCTTGCTTTTTCTGTCAAAGCTGTGAAATCCTGACCAACAAATTGCTTTGCGATATCGTCTATCGTTTGATCATCTTCTGTCATCTTCCTAGACTGAGGCACGTAATTAGAAACTGATCTACTTGATGCGGAATGTAGTTGTGCACCATCAGATATCAATTTCACGAAGTTGGAGAGGTTTAATTCTCCACCATATCTGTCACATATTTCTTCAACAGTAGAAATAGGGACATTGTAGTCGTATTCTCTAAGGAGACCACGTTGTAAATCATTAGCAGTCATCTTTGTATTGTATCCGCGCCATTTATTGAACAAATGAGTTGGTTTTCCTTGAATTATTTCGCCAACTCTCTTCAAAACGTCATCAGGATTGACATTGCTTTGGCTTCTTGTGGCTGTATAAGGTCTTGGCGATGGTTGTACTGATGGAGTTCTTTGTTGGACAGTTTGTGGTTTGTAAGGTGATTCTCCGAATATTCCGTGGTCGACCATGGCGGTTTTGACGAGCTGTGGTGGCTGGTATTCGTAATAAGGAGCATCGTTTTGGTCAATGTTCTCTCTTGGCTCTTCTCGTGAGAATGCTTGGTAGTTTGATCGTCCAGATGGACTACGGAGCCCATTCGAGCCAGCACGAGGAGAATTATAATCGTATTGGTTAGTTTGAGGGGAATTGTAGTCGTAGGATGATTTCTGGGCTGAGGAGTTGTAGTTTTCGTATCTGTTGGCCTTTGGTGAGCTGATTGGAGATCTGACAGGTTCATTCGAGAATCCGCCGTAATCGTTGTATCTTGTAGCACTATTTCTTATATTTGATTCAGGAGCCACGTAGTTTGGTGAGTAATTTGTGTTCAATGGCGGAAGATTTATTGATTCGGAGCAAACTTTAGCTGCAACTAGGAAATATTGAATTAGACCTGATGCTGATGGATCTCCAATCTGTAAGATCTTGCCAAATCCTTGAGTTGATTCAGGAACTCCGTATTTAGTGCAAACATCAATGAAAGCACTGCGAGAGACTTCACCAGTGATCAAGGAATCCTTGGACATGCATCCAATGACGATATCTCTCAAGTTTTCATGAATTATATCGCTGGCAAGGTTAGAACTGTATGATTGTGGAGCAGCTGGCTGGGCATCATACTTGCTACCTCCGAAACGATCGTCATTTGCAAATCTATCGTTTCCATAACCTCCATATGAAGGATTTGAACCATATGATGGTTTTCCGTAGTCATTATCTTGGTAACTAGACTTGTCATCATATCCACCTAAGGATGGCTTCTCGTAACCACGATTTCCACTGTAACTTGGATTTTCATAGGCTTCTCGAAGTGGTGGTAGATCTGCTGGTTCTTCCTTTGGATATTGGCGTCTACTGGATAAAACTGGTTGAAATTCATCGACATCTGTTTGCATAAATTTCAGAAATTCCGTAAAATTCATATCTCCTTCGATACCAACAGAATCCCAAAGGACTTGTAAGTCGTTCCCTTCGAATGTCATGTTGTATTTCTCCATTTTCTGACCAAATTCTGCCATTGTCATGGATTTGTTGTAGCAGAAAGCGGCCCAGCGATTTCTATTTGTTGCGCCAAGAGAACGAATCTTATCTTGAACACGAAGTAGTAGGTTCCTATAGTACTGTTTTTCAGACATTGCTAAATTTGAAAATTTCAGAAACCGTTTAGAAAATTTTGTATCGTTGCATCGTTATCAGTATAAGTGATCCGACCACTTATGATAGCTAAATGATGGTAAATGTTAGAAAGTGACTTATGTCTCTGAATGTGGTGGTAGTGTAATGGAACTATCGTGCAAAATTTTCAAATCTCAAATGAAATTTCAGAAAATTAATAAAAATTCACGAACTAAAATCTTAATAATTAGTCACCTTAAATAGTTGTCTATTGCAGGTTATGGATTTCGGATAAATCTTAGTAAATCTTTTTCGAAATTCCAAAATAACTTGGCACTGCTTGATTTTCGAAAGTGACTTATCCTACCCTAGAGTGTTGTAGCTCATATTTTACTTCTTTCATTATCATTACTAAATTAATTGTGAATGATTCAACATAATATACATCCTTTCGAATTAAGAGACTGTCAGCACACCCTCATCTAAAATTTATATATATTTGCATAAGGAATGGAATTGCTTCAGTCATTAGTTAGGTTCAAAAATAGAATATAGATTGAAAGAGGGTTAGTCAATGAAATGCAGGAACCAGTTAATGAAATAAGCTATATTTTATGAAACTATTATAACAAACAAAAATTCAGGAAAATTATATAAAAAATTTCGACAAACTTTACATGAGATACATCTTATCATGTCTAAGCTCGTTATTTTCACATAAAGAGCAACTTGACTTAAATAATTATGAAGAGGTCCTGGAATTCCTTTTTCAGTGCCAAAACTACCGATTGAGTAATGCCAAAAATCAGGTCTGAGATCTCCATTGATGTATGATTCCTTGCTCCTTTTGGACAGGCTTAGCCCACCCCAGTTATAAATAGTAAATTTAACACTGACATTTTCATAACCAAGAACAACTGGAGTTCCATTCTCATCTTGTAAATTATCTTCTGTCTGAATTGTTGGTGAGAGGCTTTGACACCACCAATTGTATTGATCTGCACCCATTTCTGGATAATGAAGAAGAAATTCGTATTTGTTGTTCGTTTTATTCATTGATTCTGTTTCAAGATCGGATAATAAACTGTATGTATATTGTCCAAAGCAGCGCTTTACATTCTCTTTAGTAAAATAATAATCTCCAGTTCTGACATCATGATAAAAGATGAGCTGGAAATATGAATCATTGAAGAAAGTGAACCTATACTTATTTCCATAGTCAATCTGCTTCCCAATTGTGACATCTGGTATCTTCAACCTTCTTCAACTCAATTGTAATTCTTAAACTGCGTGACAAAACCTAGGTGAGGATCAGACTTTTTGATAAAACACATTGAATTCATTCTATGGGTTTCATTCAAATATTGTCAGAATTTCTCACCTAGGTTTTGTCCCAGACGATTATTTTTTTTATTCAGCTTAAACAATAAAACAACCAAATATATAAATAATACTTCCACGTGTTTCCATGGAAATTTCGTTTTTATCCAAACTTTCTGAAGATATTGCATCATATTCTGTTGAAATAGTAATGCAATCTTAATGTAAGCTCGCCAATTATGAGAAAATATCATGTGTGTTGGATGCACATGTATGTTTTTCGTTTTTCTGAGCTAATTTGGAAAATAAGATTCTATTAGATATTAAAACAAGCATTTAAAGCAACAACCTATTTCCATAGGTGTTTACATTGCTTAACAAGTGATCTGGCAATATAAAACAACTGAGTTTCTAGCTGGAATCCATACTTACCATATGCTCTCTCTCAAAAATTGAGAGTCACCTAGGTTTTGTCCCGCAGTTTACATAAAATTTTTGTCAATTTTCGATTTTTTCAGAACGAGGTCATTTGATTGAAATATTATTAATATTACATTATTGCTCATTGCATTCAAGATAGTCTTGAGAAAGAAGTCGTCTCAATGAATATCTCTGTGGAATCAAAATAAGCATTTTATCATATTTAATCACAAAAGTTGACGACCAATATTATACGCCATCAAGGATCCAGTATTTTCCTTTCAAAACTGTAACATCGATTTATCTTCTTTTTTAAAGTTGAACTATAAAATATTGATGGAGTCGTAACAATGGAATAATCTTATGGTGAAGTACTGATAAGTGCAGTTCTACCAAAACATATTCATCTTGATCAATCCAAGCAGAAAGCTGAAGTAGAAAAGCTATTCAAGATCCTTGCATGATTTGCATTTGGAAGATTATATCGACTTATATCATCTTTCATCAATTTCATAAAATATGAAGTGAAAATAATGTCATCTTAAAATATTTAGCGTTTTTTAGTTTCATCGATTTCTAAACAAGAGGAAATATATGGATTCATAATTAAATATTCAAGGAAAAAAATGGATCTGCATATCTGACAATCTGACGAGACTCTAAAATCTATCCATTCAATTTGGAATGCAACCAAGTTTTTTAACCACAGAGTATAATTTTTAGAATTGCATTTATTAATGAAAAATTAATATGTTAATATGTATTGATCAGAGTATTCTAACCGTTTTTATTTCAATGTATCAAATTTAATTTGATGCTTTCTATATTATTTGAGTGTGCTGCAGCAGGAAGATCACACAGGCATCGTCGCTACGTTCCTGCAGAAACAAATGGCGCAGGCCAAGGTATTGTTGTTAACACTAACAATGGCTGCTGGATCAGATCAGGACCAGGCACGAACTATGAAAGAATTGGCTCAGCATTTGCAGGAAACCAATTCTCTGTCTCAGGTTACAGTGGAGTTTGGTGGCATGTCGCCTTCAATGGAAGATCAGGATACATTCATAGTGATTATCTCCAAGTCACAGGAAGAGTCAACTCAAACATTGGAGTTAATGTAAGATCAGGTCCAGGCACCAACTATGGAAGAGTTGGTGGACTTGGTAACAATGCTCTCGTAACAATTAAAGGAATTTCAAGCAATTGGTTTAGAATTGACCAAGGTTGGGTTTGCGCTGATTATATTGCTCTTTCAGGCTCCCCTGGTCCAGCACCAGGCCCATCTCCTTCTGGCCAAGTTATCAGACAAGGCGATCCAAGATTTAATTCTAATATCAGAACATGGGGCTGTGGCTTCATGTCGCTTTGTTGGTGTGGCGGCGTCAACAGCATTGATGGATGCAACAACCTCTATAACACAGCTATCCGCAATGGCTGGATGAGATCTGATTGCTTCATTCTCAGCTGGGATGTCATTAAACCAATTGCTGGCGCAAGAGGTTATAGACCTGGAGGCCGCAATGCACCAGTTGGAGGAAACGAAAAGGAAATTTTGGAGTGCCATAACGCTAGAACTAGTATGCACTTTGTCGTTGGCAACAAGAATGGTGGTATTGAATACGATCCAGCAGTACCAGGCTTCGTTTCATATGGTGACCACACTTCCAAGCGCATTTACATCTATTAAAAAAAGAATTTCTTTTTTTATTTATATTTTTTTCGAGATATGTCTACATAAAGATTGCTTATTTGCAACATCAGAGGTGTGCTCAATAAAGCCTGTGTCCAAAAATGAAGAAACCATAAATAAGAGTTGATCAAATAATCAGATTATGCTGAGTAGGGGTAATTTTAGCTAAAAGTGACACACCTGTAAAAAGTGACACACCCGTGAAGGGTGTGATTACCGATCGGTAATTTCGACAGTTTAGAATTTAAAATTTTTTATGGAACTGTTGCGAGTTTCATAAAGAATTTAAGGAATATAAGCAAAGATTTGAATCAAAATCTTAGACCTAAGCCGCTCGATTCGCTCGCGGCTTCCGCGAATTACAGATCAGCAAAGATTTGAATCAAAATCTTCGAACTAAGCCGATCGCTTCGCTCGCGGCTTTCTTTATTATTTTAAATTTGCATATTTCCATCAAAAGTTCATAAGGTAAAAAATTTCGTTTATTTTTACTAAGAAAAAAAAGGTTTTTGATAATAAATTTATTTTATTTCGAAAAAGTAGCAATAATCGTAAAAGGGTATTGATAGGCTTGCTAAAGTAACTAATTTTAGCTGTCAAATACTTTTGTATTTTGAAGTAAATTAGTATAAATTTGTTTTTACTTTTATTTCGAAAAAGTAACAATAATCGTAAAAGGGTATTGACAGGCTTGCTAAAGTAACTAATTTTAGCTGTCAAATACTTTTGTATTTTGAAGTAAATTAGTATAAATTTGTTTTTACTTTTATTTCGAAAAAGTAACAATAATCGTAAAAGGGTATTGACAGGCTTGCTAAAGTAACTGATTTTAGCTGTCAAATACTTTTGTATTTTGAAGTAAATTAGTATAAATTTGATATTATTTTAACTCCCTTTGAAAACCTCAATTTTCCATACAGAGGGAACGGGAATAGCATCCAATATTCCCTGAGAATGGTTGCGCATTCTCAGTTCCCTCTATATTTCGAACGAAGCTCTCATCGGTCTTTTTTTTAATACTAAACGTTTTTTCCCCTGTCACTTTTAGCTAAAATTTGGGTTTGCCGATTATGCTAACGTGCGCTTAAAACTAATCTAGTTATATTTGCTATGCAATGCTTAATCTATTTCTAAAATCCGATTTTTAAAATGGACAAATTCACTTTGAATTTCAGAAAAATAACCACTTTTTGTGAAGAATCTTATGATTGATGTAAACTTATCAATATATTCAAAAGATGTGGTCTATTCCATTTACCTCAAAACTTTGATATTTTAACAATCATTATATTTGCAATATAGTTGACGTGATATGTCACAAAAAAGTGAGAGGTAGGGCAACGATAGAAAATTTTTGGAAAAAAAGTTCGGAGATCTTAAACGTATCATATTCCCTGCATGGTTTGGTATCTTCCGCCATGCGTTGTGCCAAACATATTGACACTTTCCAATAATTAATTTATGGTATGAGTCACAGAGTTAGATTATAAAAAGAAAGTAAATAATTGCAATTAGAAATCATATATGTCGGAAATCAAATGTTGATGAGCAGAAACCTTTTACTCATCATAAAAGAGATAAATCACTAAAGATTTGTATACATTAAAATTTGATATTTGGTGCTCGAAAACTGTCTGATGGGACTCCTCCAAAATGAACCAATCTATCGCTGAGGACCAAATTAGATGATGTGGATGGTGTATTCTCTAATTCTAACTTAGGAAGAATGGGAACAAAACGAATGACGACAACAACATGTCAAACATAGATTAAATATCTATGAATCAATAAAGTATACGTGCATTGAAGGTGATAACGATCACTTGAGGCTTATAACTCTTTGACTAAATTATGCAATAATTAAATATAATCATTTTTATATTTTTATACTGATAGTAATTAATATACTATCCTGCTTAATAAATGGTATGATCAAATTTGTTTGAAAATTTAATTATGTATATGAAACTATGTCTTCTATATAAAAATCAAAATTTTCGGACGAACCTAGATTGAACCTTTATGAAAATCTATCATTTTTGTTAATTGAGTTAATATGAATCTTTTACATATGTATATATAGCATTGATAGCTTATATAATCATGGTTTATTCCATATTAACATATTTTTTCAGTTAAATTTGTTAATAATATCATGTAACAAATTAATTCAAGATTAGAATGTCTACAAAATGCTAACAAATAAGAACAAAATACGATTTCTCGACTTAAATTTTAATATGGAGTAGTTTTTCGTTTAAATCTAATTAAAAATGAATAAAAACTTATCTTGTACTATTTTCATTCAAAGATTTTAATAATGTAAATCATGCATTTTCATAATTCAGTACAGTTCTTTTTAGAATTAAAGTTGATGAGGATGATATTTGTGATTTAAAATAATTTGTTAATGTTCACCTTTTATTCATCACCTTGTGGTATGCCCTAAAGCAATAGCATTATCAATTCTGCTGAATTGATCAACTCAAAATTCCAAAAAAAATTCAAAATTTCAAAAATGAAATTAAACAATTTGAATTTTCACATGAAAAAATCAATTTCGAAAAAAATTTGGAAAATCAAAGTATTTGATAATTAGTCAAATAATCAATTTACATCGTTTTTACTCATAAAAAACAACTAATTTTTGATTTTGATATCATATTTGATAAATACTCATTCCAGAGTTGACGTAATGTATTAATTATTGTTAGAGATATTGCTTTCGCAGCAAAATTCTTATTTCATGAAAGAAAAAAAAAATGATTTTATTCCAACAAAAACAAGTAAACAGATGAATGGAAACGTACTATATTTTCATAAATGTAGTAATCAGCGTGTCAGCTTTTGTTTATCATGTTCGAGTCAAAATGTATTAACTTGTAATAAGAAATATTCGAAGATTATATGAAGTATTGAGCATTCTTTGTAGAAATATTTGTAATTCATTACTAACATATATAATAAAGTTGTTTTTTTTTCCTTATTGCAATAATTTTGTCTGATTTTAATAACTTTTCATGTATACGAGTTGTGTGAATATGCATCATAATATGCGTAAATATACTTATTTGCGACGAATAATGTGGTTGCATAATGGAGGTGCTAAATTTTGATTTTTAATATGGGGCTTTGGTATGTATAATCATGTTCTTATCTCAACGTAGGAGTATTGGTGCAATATGATTAAAATTTACGAGGTTGATCTTAAATTGAATAATTCTGGAGTATAAATCACAATGCAGCTAATTCTATGTTAAAGATAGATACAGATTGTAGTAATCAATTAGGGAGTACAAATTCATTCTTTCATTTCTGTCGTATTGAGCAGAAAGGAAGAGATCATAACCCTAGGAAAAAAAGCCCAAATTTGTCACTTTTCATAGTACGTTAAACTCAATTCGCTCGGCGAATGCCGAGCACACGTACTCATCATTCAACATAATATTCTCATTCTTTGGTTATTATAGTGCCAGACAACACAAGATTTCAAAGAATTACTTGAGTTTTCAATTAATCTTAATCCGATTTTAGATTTATCGAGAACTCCATCATCACAATCACATACTTCAGTGCGGTAACTACAATTATCCATATACAGAAGGAAGTTCTTTTCGAACAACTCATTTGGAGTCTGTTTTGGAAAGAACTTCTTTCTGTCCGACTTAATTTCATAGTTCCTGATCAACCAAAAGACAGAAACCACACACTATCTACTTAGGAAAGGAGTTCTTTCTAAATCTTCCTTAAATTGAGATTTTACGAGAGATAACCCTTCTATTGCACTTAAAAATGAACATTTTGATATCTTTAGTATCACACATGGTCATATATAGTATTTCATCTACATGAATACATTCATCTTTCGAAGTCTCTCATTAAATGGGAGGCTTCGAAAGATGAATCGTTTTATTCATACAACTTTAAATCTCGAACACATTTAGAGAGTGAATATATCATTTTATTCTTGTTTTGAGTTTATTCTGATTCAAAATTGCAGTGAAAACAGAAGTTCACACATCATATCTGAATGTGAGCTCATCTATACTTATACGATCTCAATACCTCCACTCTAAGCATAAGAGGTGAAGTTATATAAAAATTATCAGATGCGTTGAAGTCTCAAAAGTATTGCCTGAATGCTTGTTTCATATTTGTCCAAGTAGTTTCAATGAATAAATGTATTGTTTTTTATAATTTCGATTTATTTTTAGAAAATATTCAATATAACCTTTATTGTGTTATTTACATCTCATAAATTCTCTGTCTAAATCATATAAAAGCGCGTTTTACCCCTATGAATCAAGAAATTCATTCAATATTCATGGTATATTTATTAAATTTATACGATTTACTAATAATCAATATTATATCCTCATAAACAGCAATATATTTTGGTAATCTATGATAATCATATACAATATTTGAAATCAAATTTTCATTAGTTTAGGTTCCTTGTTAATAGTAAACCATTATATTTATTACTAATAATAAAATCTATCTGTCGTATTGAAATTCAATAAAATTACTTATTCGGTCCAAAAAAACAAATTAGATAAAATTTTTCTTTTTTTATGTAATTTTTGTTTTTCATTTTTCTCAAGATCCTAAGTTATGTTCTAACTTTTGACATCATATCCTATCATGCTAGGCTATATATTATAGCATATCCAAAAGGCAAGGAAATCTATCAGAGAAGCCTTTTTGACCTATCGTTGCCCTACCTCTAAAAAGTGGTTTTATCTGAAATTTTGTGATTTGCAGTTTGAGAATAAAAAAATGTTTGCTTTCGCTGCACTTTCCCGCTCAGTGTTGACAACACAGGCAGAAGAGAAGGCCTTCCTTGACTGGATGCGCCAGACAAACAACATTTTTGTTGGCGAAGAATTCCATTTCAGAAAGGGAATTTTCCTCACACACAAGCGTTTCGTTGAAGAGCACAACAGAAAGTCATCTTTCCGCTGCGGCCTTAACCAGTTCGCTCACCTTACACCATCCGAATACCAAGAACTCCTCGGCTACAAGCAAATGAAGCAGAAAGAAGAAGTTGAGTTCGCTCCACTTAAGAACTTCAACGCTCCAGACAGCTTCGACTGGCGTGAGAAGGGCGTTGTCAACGCCATCAAGGATCAGGGCCAGTGCGGTTCCTGCTGGGCTTTCTCATCCATTCAGGCTCAAGAATCACAGTGGGCTATCCACCACCCAGGAGAGCTCTACGACCTTGCTGAGCAGCAGCTCGTTGACTGCGTTCACGACTGCTTCGGCTGCAACGGTGGAAACGTTGGCTGGGCTTACACATGGGTAAAGCTTTTCGAGCACGGCATGTTCATGTTACAGAAGGACTACCCATACACAGCTAAGGATGGCAAGTGCGCTTTCGACAAGTCTAAGGGCATCACAAAGATCACAACACACAAGAAGGCTTCACACGATGAAGAGGCTCTCAAGACATCCGTTGCAGAAAACGGACCACACGCTATCGCTATCGATGCTGGCCACGATTCCTTCATGATGTACGAATCTGGTGTTTACGAGGATGCTTCCTGCTCTTCTTCTACACTCGACCACGCTGTCGGCCTTGTTGGCTACGGTGTTGACGGAGACAAGGACTTCTGGCTCGTCCGTAACTCATGGTCCACAACATGGGGTGAACAGGGCTACGTCAGAATCCGCCGTAACTACCACAACATGTGCGGCGTCGCTTCTGAACCAATGTTCCCAGTCGTTGAATAAAAAAATTAAAATTTAGGTTTCTTGCGAATCATCTAAGAATTTTAATGTGTCTGAACTTTTTAATATCATTTAAGTTCTTTTGGTTAAAACTTAAACAATTAACATCAAAAATGAATTTGAAATTTTGAAATTAGCTTTGATATCAACAAATTCAACGAGATTTAATTTCAAAACAAGAGTGAGCTGATATTTTGAAACTGAATTTCCTGATTGAAGCAATTAATACAAAGACGTGCTCAATTATTTGGTAATTAGAATGAAAATATTGCCTAATTATATCTACTTGGCTCATATTAATATTTGTGACACAGCATTTTGAATTTATTAATGTAATTTAGGCAAAATTGAAAAAGAAATTTGAATTTTGAAATAGCAAAATAAACATTTATAAAATAAACAAAATATAAATAATAAAATATCAAGAGTTCTCAAATGTTCCTGTGTATTCGATTGCCTGAAGTAATTTTCTGTGGAAAACTTCAGCGCTGCTGTATTCTTGAATGTGGAGTCTGTAGAAACAAGTACTTGCAGAAGGAAGATTTGTATCTGGTGCAGGTACTCTGTTGTAGTCCACAATCAAGAACGGATACTTTGCATTCGATGGAATCTGTGTTGTTCCTGTAGCGAATTGCAAAAACTTTCTTTTTTCTTGTTCAGAAAGTCTAGAAATGACTGTCCAAAAGATATCAATCATCTTTCTTGGAGCACCTTGGAATTCAGTCAATGCTCTGAGTTTAGAAACAGAAATAGTTCTGTCTCCACAAGCCAAGAATTCGAGTAATTGAGGAGTAACAAAAGGAGGTGGAGCCAAATCAAGGGCTTTCCAAAATCCATTTCTTATTAATAACAAAGGAGTCAACAATTTCTGGATTCTCAATGAATTTGCAGAAGAAATAAATCTTCCTGCACTTCCTTGGTTCAATGATTTGGACGAGAAACTGAAAACAGAGACTTCTTCGCCTCTTATGTTTTTGATTTTGTTGTGGTTGTTTCCATACAATTCTTGGAATTGTTGTGGAGTCTTTTCTTTACTGTCTTTCTCCAAATTAGTTACGAAATCTTTATATTCGTTATCAATTGAAAAAACATCATCAATTGTGATTTCTCCCGTAACTAAACAAGTCCAAAAGAAAGGAGGGAAAGTAAATGGCTGAACCATTCCTGTTCTAATAGAAATAGCTATTAAACAACCAACACTTTCATAGATATGGGATGTTCTTCCCCATTCACTTATTGGATTTGGAACAATGCATTCTCTAAATGAACCTCTGTGATTCACGAAATTTGGTGTTGAAACAAACAAACCAATGTTTGGATCACAAATGTCTTTAGCCAATTCAGAGGCCAAGTCGCGGCTCAATCCGCCACAATCTATACCTCTTTCTCCTTCGAATGTTACATGGAAAGGATCTGTTGGAGATCTGAACATCCGAGGTGAAGTATAAGCTCTGGCAAATTGGCCGATCATTGAATCACTTAATTTCTTGGAAACTCCGGATCTTACTGACAATCCAAGTTGTCTATTGATTGTCACATTAGTTCTTGGTCCATCCGATTTAGATATGAAGAATCTAAACTTCTGAGTCAACGTCAAAACAGAAATGAATCGAGAAAATTGTGAAAATGAACTTTCATTTACAACATCTTCATGGAAATAAACATACCAATTGAAAGCCAAAAGAAAACGAGATCTCAAACAAATCATGTGCAATTCTTTGTCAAGATTCAATTCCAGGAATCTTATTGGGTTCATAGCAAATGATAAATTGTATAAATCTTGCAATCTTTCTATTGGGAAAAGTGACAAAATATTTTGATCGTCACTTTCATTGAATTGGGAATACATGACTTTTATGTCATTTTCGAACTTTTCTCTGTTACTTAATAAGATGTTTGCTGCATCTGCTGACTGAACACTACAGAAGAAATAGAATTTCATGTTGGAAATTACATCACTTTCATCGAATTTTATGAAAAACTCTTTGTTTGGAGGAGAAAAGTCAGAATTCATTGAAATTCTAAATGAATTTGACATTTCTGAATTTGTTGCGCATCTGATTGTCTTCTTTATAACATCAGGAGCAGAAGCACACAAAGTTACTTTGTAAGGAATATAATTAGAAGTGAAAGTAACTTTCAACAAATTTTGATTAAGAATTTCAAATTTTGTTGGTGGAAAAGTTATGAAAGAAAACAACCAATCAGTAATAATCAAATAAAAAGGATAATCAGTCAATGTCTTGTAAACAGTTAATATTCTTTGTATTATACTAAATTCTCTTTGCGAAAGCATTTTCTTCATATCTTTTCCGAGAATTGATTCTGGAAGTTTCAAACCTTCAGCATCATTTCTCATTTTCATATTCCTGAGATTACACCATGATGGGAAGTAACTTGACAAATTCATTAATTCCATTTCTTTTCGCATATCTAAATGTGATCTCACGAAACTTTCAAATGAATTCGAAATTGTTTTACAAAGCGGCAAAACATGATTAATAACAGAAAGATATTCATCATTAATGTCAACTGCTTGTATTTGCAATTTGTTTGTTATAAAAGATAATACTTCTTGAGAATGGGAATAAAAGAAAGGACTTCTTCCCAAAATTGCCATGTAAATATTTGACATAAATTCTGCCAAAGATTTTGATTTCCATTGGAAAATTGATTTCTTATCTTTTGAAATGAAAATAACAAAGTATTTCATAGCGATTGCCAAAGAAAAGAAAGTATTAAACAAAGAAACATTTGTGTTCTTAAATATAGGTAATCTTACACAGTTTTTCTTTGAATAAGAAATAGAATTTCCTGGAACAAAAGTATAATTAACAAAATCAACTTCGTAGTTTTGTGGGAAAACACTTCCTTTGATTTTTGGTGCCAAAATATTTCCAAAACCTAAATCAAAACATACCCATCCTGCGGCATCACTTTTATAATCTTCATTGATTAAAAGTGATGAATTTACATAATAAGGATTTTGTTGAGAAACAAAATGATTTTGAGGAGAAGAAAACATCTTAAGAATGTAATTAAACCATATATCTTTGAAAGTATCAAATCTGTCATCAATGAATTCAATCAAATTAATTAAAGAATGATGATAATCATATAAATTATTAGGAATAGAATAATTCGAATCCAAAACAGATAAATCGAAATCAATTGGGGATTTTGATTGTTCGTAGTTATTGTATTTAAATGGTTCAACAATAACTAATAAATGGTTAACGAAATCAATCAAATTCTCCGAAGTAAAATTGAAATTAACCAAAACATTATTGACAAAATTACTCGAAATTAATTTTGTCAAAATAAAAGTTGTTATTTCATGTTTGTAAGCTTCGCAAACGCCGCCAATGAATGTGTTAATGACGTCATTTGGCATTTCACACATATTCTCGAAGTGTAAAGGTGGACAACCTTGGAAACCAACAATATTTGCATCATTTTGTCTCACTTTTTGTATTTGGCCGGATACAGGATCAACTTTAAAATAAAACGGCATCGCGACAGGAGAACTGAAAATGAATTTTCTAGTTTGAGAATAAACGAAACTAGAAATTGACATCTTCAAATAAGAATTCGTTGGATTAATGTTCAAATTACTGAACTTAACACACTTAGAGATATTTAAATCAGTAGCTGTGTTATTAACAATTGTTTGATGATAACCACTCATAATACTAAAGAAACCATTTGATTTCGTGTTTTCCGTTGAAGAAACTCCACTTTTTATCAATGAAAAACTTTGTTCTTGTTCAGCAAATTTGTCATTCGAAGTTATACCGAATATTCTATTTTTAAGTCTTCCAAAAACATTCGAAGGACTTTTTAGATGCTTCAAAGTCAAATTTAATTTTTGCATGTTTGGAGTTTTTGGAGTTAAACTCAATGAATATTCAACAGCGGAACTATTAGGAACAATAATAAAGAAAGAACATCTTGTATCAGGTAAAAATATCTTTCCTAATCTATTCTTGTTTCTTGAAGAAGCAATTCCTACTTTTTTAGTTTTAGGATTAAACATGAATTCAATTGTTTCATCTTCTGTTGTTTCATTCTTTAAAAATGGTTCCATATTCAAGAAAAACATTTTTGCGGCACTTGAATACAAAACACATAATTCTTGATTCAAATCTATTGAATGCATAATGATTCCAAAGATAACATTAGTTTGGTTTTGTAGTTTGCAGCTGAAATAGCTTTGAACACTTGAATCCAAAACAGTAGACATGAAACAATGCATTGCTCTGTTTGTTTTTATTGAATTCGGTGTCAAAATAAAATCAGAATGGAAGATATATTTGCAAAAAGAAACATGTTCTAAATGTGGTTCTCTCGGTGAATTGCAAAAGATTCCATTTGATTCCCTTGACAAAGCCAAACTCAATAAAACTTTTACTTTAGATGAAAATTTTCGGAATTCAAAATCAGAAAATTTCTTCAAAGTAAAAGTTGAAGATAATTGTTGAGTATAACTCAAGCCATTATCTGAATCACTTAAATAACTTTGCAAGCTATTCATAACAAAGAAAGATAATACACTATCAGAATATGACTGTGGTGCATTCATAACTTGTGTAAATAATCCTAATAAAACTAAAAAATGTGGAAACATTTCAACATCAAAACTCAAAAGTGACATTATTTCATATTCTTCGCTTAATTTAAGAGTTTGTATTGTTATTTCATTAGTCAAAGGTAACTGTATTACTTTGATTTCATCATTTTCTTCATTGATATCTAAAACAAAGTAATTTTGATCTAAAATCACATTTTTCGACAAAACAACAAAATTATTTGACAAAAGAATAAAAATTCCAACAATTTCTTCTATTTTTGATTGTTTTTGTTTGATTCTATCCATTACTTTCACTGTTATAAACTGAGTTAGTTCGTCTTTCGCTTTGGTTTCTGTTATCAAAATCTTTCTAAAAAGTGTCAAAACTTCATTTGCAATTGAAAACAAAATTTCTGGTGTTTTGCAATATCTTCCTAAAGAAAAAGACGAAACATGATCTTGGGATAACCAGTCGGGTAATATATCAGTCTTTGCACCGCAAAATACTTTGCCTACAAAGTTAAACAAAACAGAGAAAAATTCTTCATTTTTGTCACTTTTTGTTATAATTGCGTAAAAATATTGCATCAAAACATGGAAATCGTCATTATTACAAAAGAACATCATCAAACTATCTTCTTTTTCGATTGGTGCATCAAAACCACTCATAACTAACATTGTTGCCAAATTTATGTCAAATGACAAATTATTTGGCAAATTTGACAACAAATCTGACATTGTTGATTTTTTATCTTTGTCTATTGTCAAATAACCCTTGTCATTAAAGAGCTGCATAGCTTGGAATGATAAAATTAATGATGTCTTGAGTTGTTCTGTTGGAATCATGGATGAACATGAAATTAATTTTGTAAAAAGTGACACAAAAATATTCCATTTCAATTCATCTTTTTCTATATCTTGAATAATGAGAAGCATGTTAATAACTAAAGGAGTAATTGTTGCGGCAGAAATCATTGGTATAGAGTTAACAAAAAGAGAAATTGTTTGAACAACAATAGAAATAATTTCATCATTCAACAAATTCAATTTTCTCAAAACTTCAGCTGAAGTAATGAAATTCTTTTGTGTTGAGAAATAACCAAGGAAACAAAGTAAGAAAGATTGTGGCAAATTTTCAATTTTCATGAATGATTTGATTCCATCCAAAAACGATTTCAAAGAATCAACAATTTTCTCGATTTCTTTTTCATTTTCCAAATAAACACTTAAAAATTGTTCATTTGAAACAAAATCAACTAAAATATTCAAATTTTCTTCATTAAATTCAACTGATATTTTTTGTGACGATAGAAATGTCACTTTTTCTTCAATCATTCCAAAATATTTTTCATAATTTTGTTTCAAAGTTCTTTCTTCGTTTAAATTTGGATCAAAAGAATTTGTTTGTTGTTTTGATTCTCTTAAATTGTTTCTTATCTTATATACAGCTTGAACAATTGATTTCAACCTCGGATCATACAAAGGAAAATTAGAAACAATGTTTTCAAACTGAGAAAATGACAAAGAAAGTGACAAAAACAAATCAATTTCAAATTTTTTGTCTTTCCCTTTGACAACTTTGTTCAAAGGATTTGGATTATTCTTATGTATTGTTTCTAAAATAATATTTCTATCAAAAGTGAAGTCAATGTCACTTTTTCTCTTATTGAATTTCAAAAGTTTGTAAATTTTTGTAAAACTTTCAATATTTGAAGGAGTATGGTTACTCAATGTTGTCAAACATTTGACGAAACAAACAAAAATTTTGTCAAACAAAAATATAAAATTATCTTGTTCTGGTGTCACTTTTTTCTTAATTAATCCATTATTTTTTGTCAAATTTTGCATCAGATCAATAAATTTCCTTGTATAATCTCTAGCGAAATCAATGATGTCGCATAAAGGAACTAACAACAAAATAAACTTTTCAACAATTGCATAAAATGTCATATTCTTTGCATCTTGGTCAACTAAACTTAAGTTTGAAGAAATCAAAGAAAACAACAAATTAAAAATCTCTTTTGAAACTGTTTTTATCATTGGATTGACATCTTTTTTCATGTGGAAACGTAATAATTCTCTATAAACAGCAGTCAAAAAAGAAACAACGAAATCTTCATCAACAAATCTCAGTTTCAAACTATTTTCAACAATATTGTTGAGTGTTGGAATGAAATATAATTTGTAATGTTGTGGAGAAATGATGAAAGGATACAAAACAGAGTTTTGTAGTTTCTCAATTATCATTGTAAATTGAGATATCGTTAAGTTATGAAAAAACAAACTAAAAACAGGAGAAATGAATTGTTCATTTCCATAAAACAAATTCGTGAAATTATTCACTAAGAAACTTATTAAAAAATCATTCAATTCCTTGTATTCAAGTAAAATTTTTGCCGTGAAAATTAATGAGTTCAAAAACTCTTCATTTTGCTTTTTCTTTTCTATTTCTAAATTAATACCAATTAAACAAAACAAAACTTTGATACAAGTGAAATATTTTTCATCTTTTTGTTGATTAATCATTGACAAATAACTTGGAATAGCCAATAAAATGTCTTGGCTCAAATTCTCACCAGACAACAACTTGAAATAAAAAGGAAACTTATATAAAAGATTCTGACAATTGATACCAATCAAAGGAAGAATTAAATTTCCAAGTAAAAATGGCGGAAACCAAAATAAATTTGATATTTTCAATGGTAAAAACTTTTGTAAATTATCACCGAAATAAAGATCACCAGGTAACAATTGTGTAACGTTTGGACTTAATGGTCCCTCATATTTATATTGGGTGACACCCCCTGAATTATCAAAAAGTGACATTGTATGAATTTTCTTGGAATATCCATCATAATTCAAAGAATAAATTGGGAAATCTAATAAAACGGTTTGGTCGCCGATATGATAACCGTCAAGCATTGAAAAAGATCTAATGAAATGGAGGTATTTGTCATTCACTTGTTTTTCGAACAAAATGAATTGTAAAAGAATTCCGTCACAGAATAAACATCTTGATGTTAGTCCAATAGGTAAAATATCTTTGTTAAATGGCTGCAATAACTGTAAATTACTTTTCTTAAGATGTAAACTATTCAAAAGAACCAATTTATCGTCTTGTAAAGTGAAAACATTTATATTTCCTTTGTAATATGAATAAATAAATGTTCCGTCGGATGTAAATGGTCGAGAAATTTTTGTTTTCGAATTTGAATAGTTTACATCGCAAAATTTTGAACCGAGAGGGAAAATTTCTAGGCCTTTTACATTATCGTTTGAAATCAACAGTAAAATATTTTTTGACAGAACTAATTCAACAACTGATTTACGTTTATAAGGGGATTCTAGTTCCATGAATCTAAAATTCCTTTGTGTAATCTCTTCCGACATATCAATTATCAGTAATCTGTCTTGTTTCATGCAAAAGAAATTTTTCGATACAAATGCAGTGATTGATCTTGGATTTCTATCAGCAACTGTTAATTCATCGATGATAAACTTACCAATTATGTTGTTAGTTTTGAATAAATTCTCTGAATAAATGATGGGAAGTGGTAAATTTAATGAAGGAGTTGAAGCGCTGCCTTGTGCACGTAGAGAATTGCATCCTGCTTCGATCATAAGTATAATGTTGCCTGTTAAATATGCCCAAAGGAACTCTGTTATTATGACTTCGGCATTTTTAGAACTTTGAGCCATTTTTTGTATTATTTCTGTAATGTCTTTGTTTTCTTGTGTTGTTCCTGCATTCATGTATATATCTTTCCCGCATATTTCTTTGACAAATTTTGGAAGTAGCTGTTCATTAGCGTTTTGACAAAACAATTCTTGAGAAATTGTAGTGTTGAACGTGTATCTATCGAAATTATTTGTGTTTTCTAGCTGTATTGCTTGATTTATATCGTTTTGAAAAGTTTCAACAAATTTATCTGTGAAATAGTTGCATATATCATTATCAAATTTGAACAATTGGTACACAAAGTTATTTACACGATCGTTTTTGAATAAAACCTTTAGAACTGATGGTAAAATGATATTTTGCAGAACTTGGTCTTGATTTTTTGCATTTGTTAGATTTCTATATAGAGTAAATATGTCTATATAAAACGAATCAAGATATTCTTCCTGTTTATCATCTTCAGAAAACTTATATTCGAATTTAATTTCCTTTGTTGAAGCAAATAATGATACAGCAAAGATTTCTGGTTCACCAGGATTCAGAAATGCACTGATGTGTGTAGCACCTTGTGCACTTGCTGAACCTTGGTTACCCATGCAATCAAAAAAAATTGCCTTCTCAAAAAAATATCGATAAAAAATTTATGTCGATTTGATAGGGGATACGGCTAAAACTCAATCTAGAAATAAAATAAAAAAAAGGGTAGTGGGGCTTCCAGGGGCTGCGCCCCTTCTAGCCCCGAAGATGTTTAGTATAAATGAAGTTTTTATTCGGAAAATTGTTAGTCTTCTTGGTCGAAAACATTATATAATGTTTCACTTTTCACAAATTATATATGTTTTCATGTTTTGTCAAGACTTCTTCGTAAATGTTTTGTCAAGACTTCTTCGTAAATGTTTTGTCAAGACTTCTTCGTAAATGTTTTGTCAAGACTTCTTCGTAAATGTTTTGTCAAGACTTCTTCGTAAATGTTTTGTCAAGACTTCTTCGTAAATGTTTTGTCAAGACTTCTTCTTCGTAAATGTTTTGTCAAGACTTCTTCGTAAATGTTTTGTCAAGACTTCTTCGTAAATGTTTTGTCAAGACTTCTTCGTAAATGTTTTGTCAAGACTTCTTCTTCGTAAATGTTTTGTCAAGACTTCTTCGTAAAATCAGACAAAAATATATTTTAGGTGAAGAGGTGAGATTTCACCTGTTTTTTCACCTCATTTCTCACCTCTTGAATTTTCATGAAATTTACACCAAAAATATATTTTAGGTGAAGAGGTGAGATTTCACCTGTTTTTTCACCTAATTTTTCACCCTCTTGAATTTTACACCAAAAATATATTTTAGGTGAAGAGGTGAGATTTCACCTGTTTTTTCACCTAATTTTTCACCCTCTTGAATTTTCATGAAATTTACACCAAAAATATACTACTAGGGTCATTTACGAAGAAATCTCAACAAAGTCTTTACGATGAAATCTTGACAAAACATAGACAAGAAAGTTCATGAGAAATTAGATGAAGAAGTCTTAACAAAGTCTTTACGAAGAAATTCATGAAAATTCAAGAGGTGAGAAATGAGGTGAAAAAAGAGGTGAAATCTCACCTCTTCACCTAAAATATATTTTTGTCTGATTTTACGAAGAAGTCTTAACAAAGTCTTTACGAAGAAGTCTTAACAAAGTCTTTACGAAGAAGTCTTGACAAAGTCTTTACGAAGAAATTCATGAAAATTCAACGGGTGAGAAATGAGGTGAGAAAACAGGTGACATCTCACCTCATATGTCCTTACTGAAAAAGTATGTGTTCCATCTGAAGTTCTTATATACGGGTCTTCCAGGAGCTTTTCACAAAATATATATGTTTTCATGTTTTGTCACTTTTCTGTCACTTTTCAGGGAAAAAACATTTTTATTGTATATAAAATGAATTTTACAAAACCACCGTTACCCTTCTTTGGAAATAAGAGTAGATGTAAAGATATTCTATTGAGAGAACTTAAGAAACTACCGAATGGTCTAACATTTGTAGATTTGTTCGGTGGAAGTTTCTATATATCTCATTTGTGCCATACTGTATTTCCTGACTCAGAGATTATATGCAATGACTTCGACAACTATATGAACCGTCTCAAACATATACCAGACACTAACAAAATATTGAAAGAGTTAAAAGAAAAGATACCTATAGGTAAGATGGAACGTATACCATTAGATAAGAAAAATATTGTAAGAGAGGTTTTGAAAAAAGCAGAGTATATTGACTGGGATAGTATATCTTCTAGACTATTATATAGTGGTTCTATAAGAGTTCATGACATTGAAACACTTATGTCAAACGTTTTATATCTTAACTATACAAAGGTTTTCAAAGAGGACATAGAAAAATATACTGAGGGTATAGAGTTTGTGAGATGTCGTTGGACAGAGTTGTATGAAAAATATAAAAACAAGGAAAATGTTTTCTTTATAGTAGACCCGCCGTTCTTTAACACATACGATTTTCAATACCAAGCAGACTGGACTTTGAGAGACTCTTTAGAAACTTTAGACGTTTTACATAACCATCCATGCTTTTACTTTACATCCGATAAAAGTGGTTTGGAAAGTGTCATGAGATGGTTAGAGGACATACATGACTATGAGTTTATATATGACAAGATAGAATATGAGAGAGGTCCTATAAACCGGAAAAAGTGTCATAACAAAGAAATTTTATTGGTAAGTAAATGTGGTTTGAAATAGGACTACTTGTTTTAGGTTTTTTCCATTGTGTCATTTACTTATTTGACGTGGCAGAAAGATATAGAGAATATGAAGATGAACCAATACCAGCAAATGTTCAGCATATGTACTCGTAAGAGATATTTTTATCTAATATTAAATGGACGCACAGAACTTAGCGAATGCACAGCAACCTGGACAACCAAACCCAGAGAATATTCCAAATGAAGTTAGAATACAAACTGCAATGGCAAACTATGGTCAAGTGCCAACAGATGTACAAATGCAAACTGCCATGTCAAATGACGCTGCGTTAGGTTTGCCACCATGGTATGCAAATATGAGATGGAAAGAGTTTTATACAAACCCTGAAGTGGATATAAACAACTCTATGCAGATGACGCGAACACAGGAGTTGACCCAGAATATGTTTTCTACCAGAGGAGAAATAGAATGTATGAGCTCCAGTTAAAGAATGCAATGGAACTCAGAAGGAAACGTAAGAGACTAGGTGGACATTAGATTTTTACATATAGTAAAATGGGTTTCTTCAGTAGTATTGGAAACTTCTTTCGAAATGTTGGAAGAGGTATATATGGAATGGAATAAAAACCGTAGGAAGAGGAATTTGGAACGGAGTCAAAAATATTGGTAAAAGAGTAGGTCAGTTCGTTGGTATTATACCTAAAGACCCTGAACCAGAAGAGCAAGCTCCTGTTATACAACAGCCTGAACCTGCACCACAGTCTAGTTGGCAACCAAATCCAACACCTCAACCGTATTAAAATTATATTTTTACCGTTCGATAGTAGTTGTATATGAGACTAAGTTCTAAGTAAAACGCATGGTATAATGGAACTATTCTCTTTCTTCCATCTGTTGTAAACCATACTTGAAAGTCTGAAATACTTCCACTCGGTGGTTCATATAGCTTTGTAGGTTTTTCGTAAAAGTCATTTGCCAAGCATAAAAAAGAGTTTTGGGCGCCAGAAAATGAAGCATGAACTATAATAGCATCTGAGTCGAAAACATTTTCATATGTTCCATTAGGGTTTTCGACTTCATAAAAGTTCGGGTGTACTGGATATTCTGCAGGCTGATTTAACATCCTCAAAAATCTATACCATGCCAAGTTGTTATATTTTGTAGAAATATAAACGTCTTCTCCAAGGTCTTCTATTCTATCGATTTTAACAGTTGCATTTTTCCTGTCATATAAAATATCGAGATGGTACTCTCCTTCGTCAATGTTGTACTGTTTTGCATATTCGAGATAGATATCGTTTATTTTTTCTTGAAAAGCTTGAAGAGTTGTTTCTAAGTTTACAAGCAAACTAACTTGTAAAAGTTTTCCCTGTTCAAATTTCTCATACGTACGTTTCTCTTTGTTATAGTATCGAATTTCAAAAGCGACCGTAAATGGGAAACCATGTATGGCTTCTGAAATGAATTTCATTCTACGAAAGCCAATAGCTTTTGTGACGGATGGGTCTCTTAGCCATCTTAACGGGTAGTCAAAACGATAGCCTTCATGCTTTACGGTCTCTGTCTCAAACTTTTGACCGACATTCGTAAAAAGTTCATCTAATGGTTTAGTTGTAGCAACTCTAGAATTTTCTTTTTCTATTGAAAGCATATTTTATCTAGAATAAAAATGTCGAAAGAAACAGCGTCTATGAGAGAAATACAACACAACCGACAACTCATTTTGCAAGCTCTAAATAAGAACACAACAAACTTTTCAAACTATTCTAAGATATCTGAGTCATTGAAAGAAGGAAACTTAAAACTGACGATAAACCCATTGACAGACGAGTTTCTGTTTCAAGACAGTAAGAACCATACTGTTTGTGTAAATCCAACAAAAGGAACTTTAAACGAGAAGCCTATAAAAGAACTTCTTTTGAAAGCAGATGTTGACAACAAAGCTGACAAAGAGTATGTCATTGAAAAAGTTCAAGAAGAACATGACAGAGCAGATGCAACATATGCAACGAAAGAACATACTCATCCTGAACTAGCGGACAAAACATATGTTGACAATAAAATGTCAAGTGAAGTGACAAGAGCTGACAAAGAATATTCTAAAAAGACTCATACACATACCATTGCAAATATTACAAACTTACAAGAAACCTTAAACAGGAAAAGTGACGTTGGACATACACATACCATTGCAAATATTACAAACTTACAAGAAACCTTAAACAGGAAAAGTGACGTTGGACATACACATACCATTGCAAATATTACAAACTTACAAGAAACCATAAACAGGAAAAGTGACGTTGGACATACACATACATCTTCTGAAATAACAGACTTAAACGTTAGCCTTGAAAAGAAGGCAGATAAGAACCATACACACGATTTCTTCGCAACTGTTGGTATAGAAAATATTGAAGGAACGGTTGAAGAAACTGGTGGGATGTATTAAATTGGAAACCTCCTAACTTTCCACAAGGTTTAACATCGGAGGATGACATAACAACGATGAAATACACTAGATGTAGAAATGTCTATGTCATGGAGGATGAAAACAATGTTAAATTCACTGCTCAAGATTTATATGATAAAAAAGCTGACAAAACAGAGCTTCAAACGTTAAAGACAGAAATACTTCAAACAGTATATCCTATAGGTTCTATTTACACGTCAATGAACTCTACCAAACCAGAAGTAGTACTTGGTTTTGGAACTTGGACTCAAATAGTCGACAGGTTTTTGTATTGTGCAAACTCTTCAAAGGAAACAGGTGGAAGTAAAACGATTTCAGGTGCAAATTTACCTGCGCACAGTCACTACATAGATTTAAGTACATCTGAAGCAGGTTGGCATAAGCATAGATTTTGGGATTGGTCAGCAATGAAAAAAGGTAAAGGATATGATGTTAAAGACGACGTTCAGTTTGCTATAAATTGTTTCTGGGGTAGCACACAGGGAGAAGGAAACCATACACATCGCGTTTCAGGGTATACACAAACAACGGGACAAAGTAAAGACTACATGCCACCTTACATGACAGTTTACGCATGGTATAGAATTGCTTAGTCGTCATTTTCAACTTCTTTAGCATATTCGTCAGGAGTTGTCTTATATTTGTTAGGAACTGTCTTTGAAAGTATACCACCTTGAACTTTGACAAGTTTGAAACGAGGTCTGACAATAGTAGTTTTATCTTCTGCTTGCAGTGTGTACATTTTGCCATGTTTGCCTAAAACTTCATAATATTCTCTGTATACTTTCTTCTATTTTTACGAACACGAATGCGAGTACCTGTCGAGTTCCCATTGTTGTCATAGTCAATAGTATTTTCATATGGGTCGCGTTTAGGTATTTCTATTTTTACTTTGTCACCTTTCTTAAGTTTGAAGCCTGGCATTCTTTCTTGTTTGTCTCTTTTGACTAAACTATTAAATATATAGTCTTTCTCTAAGTCGGGGTTGTTTTTCATTTCTTCAGGGAGTGGTTTCCCAAACCTTTTTGTTTACGGGTATTGTAAATATTTAAAACTTGTCTCATCTTTGCCATGGAGAAGTGTCTATACTTGTCGTCATATGACATTTCATCTACCTCACCACCTTGTGGTTGGTTTAAGTCTCTTAAGATTTTTATACAACTGTCAATGACACCAAGAGCAGAATGGTTTTGGTCGACAATGAAATATTGGTTTACATTTTTGAACGCAGATAGTTTTTAATATCGTCTGATTTGAAAGAACTTTCACAGTCAGATGTCAGTTTTGTTGGATGGTATTTGTCAACGAATATTGTCAAAGCAGTTTTCACATCTAAAATATTTTTGGACCGTAATGGTATGGCTTCACAGTATCTTGTGTTTTGACCGACAAATATTACCAGTATGGAGGTCCATCTGTTCTAACTCTCGGAATGTTTTCCAAGATATCCATAAACCAAGCACATTTGGGTTGAACTAAAGATTTTTACCATGAGTGCTTTCTTTGTTGCTTTAGAAACATACGGGTCCTTGTTTGGATTCGTCATTTTTACCCCATAAGAAATGGGTTTATTTGGCGCATTAGCAGGAGTTGCATCCAGATTTTTGCCCGCAGTGGGAACAATAGCCAGAGGTGTATTTGAGTTGGAAGGAAGATTTTGAGTACATTAGGTATACTTAAAGAGAAAGCACACTATTATACAAACTGTACAGAAAGGTTGGGATGTAGCACGAGATGCAGCAAATCTTATTCCAAATCCTGAAACAAGAGGAAAAGTTCAAGGATGGATGGACAATGTAGGAAGACAAGCAGGAAACTATTATAACAAAGCAAATGACTACTATAACCAAGCAGGACACTATATGGACCAAGGTGAAAGATTCTTTAACAGAGGATATAACCATGCACAACAGTGGGTAAACAATAACCAACCGCAACCGCCTCAAACGTGGGGAATGTAAATTTTTTACTGAGATGAAATGAACAATACAGCATTGAGACAAATGGGTTCAAGATGGATTTGTCGACTTCCAGCAGTTACACAACGTGTTTGTCAAGTCCTCCCTATACCTCAGGAAGTTTTAGACCGACTTAAAAAACCTAAACAACCAGTTGAAAACAAACCAAACTAAAATTTTTTACTGAGATGAAATGACCGAAGAAGTTGAAACGGTAGATTTGACACCACAAACAAAAAGTTCAGAACCATTGTCAAAACCTGTCAAAGAACTTACAGATGAAGAGAAAAATTCAATAATAGAAAGTGCCAGGTCTGGAAATACAAACCCTAACTACAAAGTCACTTTTCATAGAAATGGAACGGCTAGTATCTCAAAAAAGAAACAGACTCTCACAAATAAAATATTGAAGTCTGAAGGAGCTTTCGAGACAACAGATGGAAAAGTTTACTTCACTGACAAACAGTTCATATATAGAACATCTCATTGACTTAGAGTCGAAATATTCTAAACTTTACAACAAACACAAAAGTTGAAAGGAAAACAAAAACAAATGGCATATGATATTTACGAAGATACTAACGACACAACCATACCTGCAAGTGAGGTAAAGTCAGAGGAACCAAAAAGTGACGAAAAAACCAATAGAAGAAGGTGAGCCAAAAACTGAAGATAAACCAAAACCAAAGTTTAGTTTGGAAACTACTAAAACAAGTCAACCTTCATTAGCTGGTATGGGTTGGCGTCAAAGGCTTATGGCAGCAGGTGGTTATGTTAAGTAAAAGAAAAACATTGCATGAAATAAAAAACATTTTTTAAAAAATATATTTTTTTATTTTATTTGAAATGTACGTTGAGTTTGTTGAAGAAGACCGTTGGGAAACTTGTTTGTTAGATGAGAAATATGAAATTCACTGTTCTGAGCCTTTTGAAGTCAGAAACAAAAAGACAAAAAGAGTTTTAAGCGAATGGGAGCAAAATGACGGATATGCTAGGATGAGGATTGGTGGAAAACACTATTTTAAACATGTTGTCATTGCAACTCATTTTATACCAAACCCTAACAATCTACCTTTTGTAGACCACATAAACCATATAAGAAACGACAATAGACTTGAAAACTTACGTTGGGTCACTTGTTCTGAAAACAGTAAGAACATAGGCAAATTTAGAGATATTGTATTCGAATTTGTCGACGAACTAGAAGATGAAGCAATTGAAATTACAGACTATGGTAAGCATACGTTTGAGTTTTACTACTATAGCGAAGAACAGGACTCTTTCTACCTTTATACCGGCGTAAACTATAGAAAATTACAAGTATGTTTTACTAAGGCAGGCTGTGCTTATGTAAACACTAGAGATACAGATGGAAAACACGTTCATATATTTCTCAACAAATTCAAGAAGCTATATGGCATATTATTTTAAAACAATATATTTTTACATATATTAAATGCTTCAGGTTGAAAAACAAAGAACAAAAGTAGCAGATACAAAACCGTTAGACTATATCTTTACAAATGCTGGTAGGACAATATCAGATGAAGAAATTTCATCCCGAACATACAGGTTTGACTATCCAATTCGTTGGCTTCAAAGTCCTTCAGATGCAAAGGCAATAGGATTTAGAAGAGTTTTGTTTTCAAAAAGAACTAACGCATTTATGTTCGCAGTATATTTTCATGGGCAGTATAAAGGTTCTGATGGTCTAATAGACAAATTTGACGAAATGAGAATCTTTACAGTTCGTTCAGACGAAAGTCTTGAGAAAACTCTAAATGACTTTCAAACTCAAATGAACAAATATTATTGGGAATTTCAAGAAAAATACGACTCTTTACTAAATGGAACATACTATCTGAAACTAGAATATGACAAGATGAACTCCACCGTTTTATTTCAAAGGATTGAAATTAACCCTCCAAGAGATACACAGTTTTTATTTTGGGAAGTAGACAAACGTTCTTGGGCACAATTTCTTCGGTTACTAAACCAGAACGAACCATTACCACCAGATGGTCCATTTAAATTTATACTTCCACCAGCAGATTTGACAGTTTATAGAAACGTGTTTGACCCTCAAAATGTTATGTGTCATGCAAGTTTCAGTTCAAGCAACAATAGTTTTCTATGTATTGGTAAGGACTTTTATGACTTTGCTTCTAAATTCTACGAACCACCTAGTAACAGTTTCTCTGACTTTCAAGTTTGGTTCACAACAAACGGTGTGCAGCATATAATACCATTGTACTATGACTTTTATCTCGAATTGTCTTTCATATACAACTACGGAGAAGTGCTGAAAAAGTATTGAATGTGAAGATATTAGAAAATAACATTTTTTCTAACATCGTAGAAAACTCATGAAAACAATTTATTTTTGACACTTTCACAAAAAACATAAAAAAGTGAGTTAAAATGAGATGTTTACTGAACTGGTTGGATGTCGCCTTCTGAGGTTATGTAGAACGGCCGTCCTGAGAAGTGGAACAGTGCTCTGAGAATTTGTATAATTCGTGGAATTGGACTCTCTCTGTTTGGAAGTTGTATCCATGGGCGCTTTGCAAAGAACTTGAGAAGAGCTTCTTTCTTCATCTCCTTTATGTCGTCTACAGGAGTTTTTTCTGGTATTTGAATTGGAATTCCGGTTTCAATTTCGATTTTCAGCGCACCTCTTCCAGACAACCAGAAGCCGAGGGACTTGTTGGCTTTGTCCTTGCGCAAGTACTGCTTAACAACTTCATTTATCTCTATAAGGTAAATTGCCTCATCTAATGGCTCGATGTTGTCCATTGCACTGCTTCAGAACAATACTTGTACTTTTTCAGAACAATACTTGTACTGTTTCAGAACAATACTTGTACTTTTTCAGAACAATACTTGCACTGCTTCAGAACAATACTTGTACTTTTTCAGAACAAGACTTGTACTTTTTCAGAACAATACTTGTTCTTTTTCAGAACAAATTTCCCGTAAAAGCTCTCAATTTGTGAGAAAAATTTTCTGTTTCAGAACAATACTTGTACTTTTTCAGAACAATACTTGTACTGTTTCAGAACAATACTTGTACTTTTTCAGAACAATACTTGTACTTTTTCAGAACAATACTTGCACTGCTTCAGAACAATATTTGTACTTTTTCAGAACAATATTTGTACTGTTTCAAGACAATGTCCGACGTACCACCAACCGAGCCCATTCCCAAACCAGAGGAACCTAAAGCACCAGCCCCTGCACCTCAGCAACCTCAGTTCCAGCAATTCCAATCTCAATCCAAATTACTACCAATTCCAATACAAATCGAAGAGAGACCAAGAGTTCGAAGAAGGTCTGAACCGCTTACGCAAAGAGTATGCTACAGCTCCAACCCTTGGTTGTTCCAGCAATTCCAATCTCAATCCAAATTACTACCAATCTCAATCCAAATCGAAGAGAGACCAAGAGTTCGAAGAAGGTCTGAACCGCTTACGCAAAGAGTATGCTACAGCTCCAATTGAGAGAAAGTTGTTGCTAAATTCAGTAAAAATAATGTTTAGGTGAAGAGGTGACATCTCACCCGTTTTCTCACCTCTTTTCTCACCTCATGAATTTTCATGAATTTCATCGTAAATGTTTTGTCGAAACTTCTTCATCGTAAATGTTTTGTCAAGACTTCTTCGTAAATGTTTTGTCGAAACTTCTTCATCGTAAATGTTTTGTCAAAACTTCTTCATCGTAATGAGCGTAAATGACCCAAAAATAATGTTTAGGTGAAGAGGTGACATCTCACCCGTTTTCTCACCTCTTTTCTCACCTCATGAATTTTCATGAATTTCATCGTAAATGTTTTGTCGAAACTTCTTCATCGTAAATGTTTTGTCAAGACTTCTTCGTAAATGTTTTGTCGAAACTTCTTCATCGTAAATGTTTTGTCAAAACTTCTTCATCGTAATGAGCGTAAATGACCCAAAAATAATGTTTAGGTGAAGAGGTGAGATTTCACCTCTTTTTTCACCTCTTTTTTCACCTCTTGAATTTGTCAAGGTTTCTTCGTATATGTTTTTGTCAAGGTTTCATCGTACATGTTTTGTCAAGACTTCTTCGTAAATGTTTTGTCAAGACTTCATCGTATATGTTTTGTCACCCGTTGAATTTTGTATAAAAAGCAACCCGCGGAATTCCGGCGGTTGGTATATTCTTCACAAAATGCTTGTTTTGAGGTCGAGCCACTTTTGGCTCCACCGTATTTTTCAACCAAAACTCATGAATTTCCTTAAGATAAAAAAATAAAGTTAGTTTTTTAAAAAAAATATTTTTTATTTTTATTGTAAGAACATGTTAGCAACTACAGCACCAAACTCGTTAGTTATGAATCCAACATCTATGTTGGTAGAGATGAAAAACTTCATTCCTTCTTCATATACTTTCGAAACAAAAATCCAGAAGATAAAGCAAGAACTTCTCCAAGGAGATTTAGACTGTAGTGCGAAAGATGAAACAAATGAAGAATATCTTTATGAAATGCAGGATATTATTGACCATCTACCTAAACTTCCTGAAATCCAACAACAAAAACTCACTATTCCTGAATTCGACGAAATTGAAGTTAAAGTTACTGACTCAGTAGAAATAAAGAAGTTCATACGAAAGGTAAATTATGAATTCCTTGGTTTTCATTGCAACCATAAAGTTATGGACAAAGATTGCGACATGTTATATAAGAACATCTCTGACCTTTACAAATCCGAAGAATTTAAGACCTACGACAACTTTGTTTCGTTAGTTGCAAAATGTGTATGGCAGATAAGAGATAAAGATAGTAGGGGTAAGGTATGGAACGAACAAATAAGACCCGCTATGTTCGAGATGAAGAGAGCAATTGACGCCTTAGTTGTTTTAGCAGGTAAGGTTTCAGAATATAACGCAAAAATGAACCCGCAATGTTCAAAATGTAAAGCAGCAATGAGGAAATATAACTACTCAGTCAAAGAGATAGAAAGAATGCGAAACGACTATGCAGACTTAAAGAAAGAAGCAGAAAAGCCAGCAGAAGATAAAATGGATATGTTGACATTTCTTAATAAAAACTATCCAACAGCAGAAGATTTCCTTCTATCTGACGTCAAGAAGAAGTATAAAGAAACTTTCGGTATCGTTAAAACATTCGATGTACTGACAGAAGAAATAGAAGCTACGAAATTGTTTAGGATTTCAAATATACATCATACAATTCATGTAAAACGCTTATAAAATAACAGGTGAAAAAAGAGGTGAAAAAAGAGGTGAAATCTCACCTCTTCACCTAAAATATATTTTTGGGTCATTTACGCTCATTACGAAGAAGTCTTGACAAAACATTTACGATGAAATCATGAAAATTCATGTACGAAGAAGTCTTGACAAAACATGTACGATGAAATCATGAAAATTCATGAGGTGAAAAATTAGGTGAAAAAACAGGTGAAATCTCACCTCTTCACCTAAAATATATTTTTATTGAATTCAGCAACAAAAATCTGAGTAAAATGGCATATGCTTGCTTCCCTCGGAAAACCGAGAGAAGGGATTCCGTATGAAATTCATGAATTTCCTTAAGATAGAAAAAATAAAGTTAGTTTTTTATAAAATATTTTTTTTATCTTGTATGTAAGAACAGAAATGTTAAACATTGAGTTTGAAACAGTTAGAAAGATAGACAATGACACCAAAGTGGTTAGAATAGGTGATTTAAACGTAAGATACTCAAAGAAATACAACAAATATTCTTTGTCAGACATTATATCTCCATCTGGAAAGAAAACATCCCACGACTGGGTTAAAATTGCTTCTACTCAGAAAATTTTGACAAGAAATCCTAAGCTTATGATATCGGTAAGATTCTATGGAACTACAGCATATCTTATAGACAAAAGTCTTATACCAATAGTTTTGTTATGGTTAGACCCAGTTGTTGGATATAACTTCATAACATATGGTTCATTCGATACGGAACGTTGCAGTGAAGGCTTACTTTACATCGTTCAGAAACCGAAGACTTCAATACAAAGAGATATAAGATAGGAAGAACATATAATATAACTCAAAGATATGACAGTACAGTCAATAGAGTCAAGGTTGTGTTCGTTAACGATATGAGAGCTGCTGAAACAGAACTACTTGAAAAGTTTGAGAAAATGTATGGTGCTCCCATAAAAGGTAAAGAAACGTTTGAAGTAGATGAGATAAATAAAGCTATAAAATTATTTGACGAAGTTGCTGAAAAATACATGTAAAGCGTTTATTTTTGGTCTTTTGTGAAAGTCAGGAAATAACGCTAATTTTTTATAAAATATTTTTTTTATTTTGTATGTAAAGACAGAAATGACAACAACAGAGAACACAACAACTGCTATCGTTCATGAAGCCATAAATGAAGAATACGAGTACATACAATATAACAAACAACTCCGTCTCATTCGTCGGTCAAAGATGACATGTACCAAATGCAAAGTATTTTGACAGCATGTTTTGCTCCAGACACTAAGAAACCACAAGACTGGTTTGAATTAAATAGCACTCATGAACTTTTGAGTGAGTTCGAACATGTAGAACTTAAAAAGATGTACCAAGACAGACAAAACTTACCATTGCATCTAAAAGGTATATATGTTCATAAGTTCCTAGTTAGTTCAATAGCAATGTGGGCTTCTCCTCGTTATGCATGGTATATTACAGACTTCTTGACGAAGTTGCTGAAAAATACATGTAAAGCGTTTATTTTTGGTCTTTTGTGAAAATAAAAAAATAACGCTAATTTTTTATAAAAATATTTTTTATTTTGTATGTAAAGACAGATATGACAACAACAGAGAACACAACAACTGCTATCGTTCATGAAGCCATAAGTGAAGAATACGAGTACATACAATATAACAAAACAGTTACGTCTCATTCGTTCGGTCAAAGACGATATGTACCAAATGCAAAGTATTTTGACAGCTCTTCGTTCTACAAAGCAAGCATATCATTGGTTTGAAAACCAGCAGGCAAAAGAACTTTTAGAAGAATTTCCTCATATGTTTGCGTTCCTCGGAAAACCGAGGAACGAGATTCCGTACGAAAATCGTAAAAATTTGCCAAATAGTTTGAAAGGATATTATTATGTTCATAGACTTTTAGTAAATGCTGTAGCAATGTGGGCTTCACCTCGTTACGCTTGTTATATTTTCATGATGTTAGATGAAATTCATAGACAAGAACGTGAAGAGATGGAAAAGAAACTTCAAGCAAAGGATGAAGTCATTGAAGCAAAAGACAAAAACATTCAGAAAAGAATACCACGTTCGGTACCAAAAGGTAAGGAAAAGAACTATAAGTATATGATTTATACTGAAGAGATGGAAAATGAAGAAGATAAAAGATATGGTTATGTTGCATTTAGTCAGAAGAAACAACAAAAGCTTTTACGACCTTGCTAAGATTTACAAATCTGACAGAAATTGGTTCTATCGCGAAAACTTACCGATTTCAATGACCCCAAATGAAGATGTGAAACAAATAGTTCAAGATACGTTACCTCAAACACACTATGATATGAAAGGTTGTACAATACTTACCTTCAAAGAAGATTTGCCATTGTTAAAGGAAAAAATAACAGAGTATTTTGACAACTTCAAACAAGTAGAGTAGATGAACCATTTATTTTTCAAGCTTGACTTCAGATGGCTCAGGTAGCTCTATAAGGTAAATTGTCTCGTCAAATCCTTCTGGCATTCCGAGTCCTTCCTTCCGACAAGAAAAAAATTTCCCGACAACTGGAAAAAAATTTCCCGACAACTGGAAAAAATTTTCCAGTTGTCCGTCCGTAAACCATTCAAATTTTCGAAAATTGAGAACTTTTTTCCCGACAACTGGAAAAATTTTTCCCGACAACTGGAAAAAAATTTCCCGACAACTGGAAAAATTTTTCCCGACAACTGGAAAAGTTCTTCCTTCCGACAGGACACAAACGAATGTCTCACTTCCGTCCTCTCCCTGAACCTTCCAAAGCCAGAAAGAACGACAGACCCAGCACCACAACAGACTTACTAAGACAAACACTTAGATTTTTCAAGCTTGACTTTTTACAATTTGAACTTTGTTTGCGTAGATGTGAATTCTGAAAGAAGTATGAGGGTCTTGTATGACTTTATACTTCCCATAGTTCATGTCTGTCAAACTTACCTGCATGGACTCTTTCATAAGTTCCATGAAATCGTCTTCGGACAATCCGGGGAAAAGTATAATGTCAGTCAGTATTCTCTTTACATCTTTACTTAAACTCTTTGCTGTCTGTACACAAATGACAACTGAGATGTTAAAGTGTCTGAGCTTCTTAAGAATTCGACACATGTCTTGTTCTCTATTCTTTAACAAAGGATGAGAAGCAAAGTCATCTAAGATAAGAAGACATCTATGAGGGTAAGTCTTCCAATCGTAAGATTGCAATTCTTCGAAATGTATTCTATCTCTTTCTGTTTGTTTCTGAAGTGTTTCTTCTCTAATATTTCTCTGCATTTCCTTCATTTGGTCTTTAAAACTTAAATTTATATACTCATTTATAGCATTGTACTTCAAAACTCTTCTTTGGTACTTCTTTATCCAATCTAACAACTCAGAGTCTTTTATACATACTAACTTAGACTTTTTATAATATCTTTGAACGAATTGACGGTTTGGTCAAATTGACCAGAAGTACTACAAATAACAACTAACTCATAGAATGGTTCTTCTCATCTAGTTCTTGTTGTTGTGCAGCCATTTTAAGATAAGTGAAAGTCTTACCCGACCCAGTGGTGGCGATTAGACCTGTTATACCATTCTGAGCAAATAGGAACTTGTCATGTATGGGTTTATCTGAGCATTTTTCAACTTCCTCTTGTTCTTATTTAAAACATTCTCAAATTTCTTGTCAATGTCAGCAAAACTTTTTTTTCTAACATTTTTTTAGAAAAATAAAAATTTTATCTTTTAGGAAATGTCTAGCGATTTCGCTATCTATATTCGAGACAAGCTTTTCGACAGCAAAACATCTGTCGACCATAAAATCTTACATAGTGTAAACAAGAAAGGTGAATTTGTTCTAAAGTTCTGTTTCTGGGAATATGACAAGAACCATAAAACATTAAGCAGAGCAGTCTTAAAATTTTGTCAATGACAGACTTGTTGACAGAGATGACGCCGATGGAAAGATGAAGTCCAACAAAAGTTCTTAGAATGCAAAGAAGACACATGCGCTGTTCTTGAAGATGAAATAGAAAACAGAATAGATGAGCTATTAAAGGACAAAGAACTTTTACATAAATATGGTTGCGCCAAATTTGACATAACTCCACCAGAGAGAAGAAGAAGAGAGAAAAAAAGAAAAGAAAGTAGAGAAGAGAAGAAAGAACCAGAGCCAGTTCCAGAGAAAAAGAAATTTGACATGTAAAATAAATTTTATTTTTAAACATTTCTGGGTCAATGTCAATGTTCTCTTCCTCTTTAGGAGCAAACACTGGTTTAGACTCTAAAATCTTTTTACCCAATTTACCTTGAACTTCAACTATCTTAGACTCATAATATTCATAGTCGTCTGTCTGTCTTTGGTTTCATAAGGTATAACAAGTTGTATGCTTTACCTTCTTCGAGTTTTGAGAACTTTCTGTCAAAACTTTCTTTGACTGTTAACAAACCTTCTATGTCTAAGTCTTCAAAAGTTGCACCACTTTTTCTAACAACAGCAAACTTAACTGGTGCAATGTTCCAAACTTTGTCAAATGTAGACTTTTCAAAATTATAGAAGAAACATTCAAATATGCGAATGGAGCTAACTTATCTTTGACTTCTGTCATGTACTTGTTTACTGAGATGAATTTTGCCATCTTTTCTATCGGATAAAAAAATATTTTTTTAAAATTTACTCAGAAAAATTTTTCTTTGTATTTATACGCCGTTCTGAACATCTAAAAAGACTTTTGACATTTGCCAAGAATGTACGTTTAGAAGCTGCCATATAACCATATTCTTGACATATTGTTATATTCATCATATAAAGACTTTTCATCTAATGACACAAAGTCAGTTTCATCTATGAACAGTTCATATACACTCTGTTTGCTTCTAACAATGTTTGTCTCTCTTCGGTATGTGGAATTTGTCTTGATTGAACTTAGAAATATCTAATGTCATAAAGTATGAGAACAAAGTGGTTGTAAAAGTCAGATGTCAAAGTTTCTGCTAAGTCGTCAAAATATTCTGTATCTTGCATATGAGAATCTGACGTTCTGATAAACTACATATCTTCTGTCAGAACTTTCTAACTTCATCGGAACAGCATTGTTTGAAACCATAATGAAGTTTGCAACATTTTCACAAACTCTTTGGTCTTTATACTTTCTTTCAACAACTCCAACTTTGTCTGTTATAAGACTCTTCAAAGCATCTGAGTTCAAAACTTTTGTTGTATCTATACTTTGAAGTTCGTTACATACTATAAGTTTCATATTCTCTATTGAAGAGTTAAATTTACCGCAGATGTTTTCTAAGTTTGTCATATTCGGATTCGAATAACCTTCTAACAGTTTGCACAAAATATCTGTAAAGAAAGTGTTCTTACCAGTTCCTTGTTTTCCAATTATAATGAGAGCAGTTTCATTTTTAGCACTTGGATGTTGTAAGATGTTTGCAAACCAACATAAGATATACTCATAAACCTTTTCGTTTCCATTGCATATAATTTCTTTGACATGGTCTAACCAAGCTTCTATAACATTTTCTTTCCATTCTACTTGTTCGTATTTATATCCAGTGAAGATAGAATAGAAGTTTGGAGAAGGTGTATAGAACTTTATACCTCGAACTGAAAAATCTTCTAACTTTGACAATAAGATATCCCAAGCATCTAACATCTTCATGCCAACTTGTACGACTTTTATTTTCTTAAGTTTCTGTCTACATTCTTGTTCTGAAACTATTGTTGCTCTTGGTTTGTTAAAGACAACATCCCATTCTTTCATGACATAACATTCTGGGGCAGAGTCGACATAAATGACTAAACGTTTCAAATTCTCGACTGCTTTGTTATAGTCTCGAAATGGACACATATTTCTGAATGCTTGGAAGTCATAAAAATCTGAAACATCTATTCTGTACATTTTTATAAAAATAAAAAAAAATATTTTTTTTTATTCTTGACTTTGTTGTTCCATTTGTTGCATTTGTTGTTCTTGAGCTATTTGTTGTTGAAGTTGTTCTTGTAATACAATACTTTCACCAGTTGCATCTTCCAATTCGAAACTTTCTGCCGTCATTGACAAATACATAGGACATAAAAGTTTTACAGGAACAAAGTTTGCGTCAACTAATTCAACGTTATACTTGCCAAAGTGTTTGAGTTCACTAAGGTTGAAAATTCTGCATTCGAATGAACAATAGGCAAACCAGCAGAGAAAGTGTTGTTATACGCATGAGTATCTTTTGGTCATAGTAGTTTCTGTCAACATTCGAATAGCACTTTGAACCTAAGTTTGAAACAATATATAAAATAGGTGTACTTAAAGTCAATGGAACAGACATTCCTTGTATGACACCTTTTCCTGTTATAGGAAACTGTTGGTAGTAAAAACCAGAAATAAGTTTTGTATTATAGCTCATATCGTTTATAGTAAACTCAGTCGGACATCCAAACATAATGAAACCTGCTCTAGTTGCAGCACATGTTACATCCGTCCTTAAAGTATTAAATAAGTCAACAAAACCTGTTGGTGGTATATCTGAGTAAGTATCTTCAAAGAAGTATTTTTTACCATTCACAACAACAAAGTCTTCTGGTGTCAAAAGAGCAAAACAGGCTTTAGTCGTCATCGTGTTTAAGGTCAGTTTACAATATCGTCCTTGAGGACTTTGTAAGTTTGTTGTTATAGAATTATATGACTCAGGGTTTTTAGTCGTAATAGTATAAACCACTATGTCTTCTGCCATTTACTTAGCAAACAAACTTTAATGAAATGTTGTGGTCGTCAAATATTTTTATGACGTCTGGGAAACTATATTTTAAGTTCAACGTTTCACCTCCTTTCATAACGTATATCTTGTCAATGACATTGTATGAAACACCACAGCAAGCAATGTCGGGTTCTATTTCTTTGATGTTTATATCGTCTGCCTCTGTCAAAAGTTTCAATAGTTCTTTCAAAATTTCATGAGGTGCGATGACATATGAGTTCACTTTTACAGGGTTGTGTTCGACCAAGTTTAACATTATACCCAAAGCTTGACAAATCTTCTCCTGAGTTTGAAGTTTGTCTTTAAGTTGTTGGTAGTCATTTCGAATATCTGCAACAGAACTTAAGTCTCTGCTAACTTCAGGGTATGTTGGTTGTTCTTTTACAGGAACTATTGTTATACCATCTTGGTCTTCGTATGGTTTCCCCACTTCAACATCTCTTTCTTTGACATTGACAACACACTTTGACTGTTTGTTTGAGTTGGTGAATTTAACTTCACATCTGCCACCGCCATTAAACCTTTTGAAACACTCACGCTTCTATTTTTCGGAAATGACATTTTACTTAGAATAAAAAGATGGACGTATTCGAGTATCTCTTCGAATTGAAGCAGAACAAAGTTTACACACACAAACAATACAAATACATTGACAGAATAGTTCTTTATACAAACAATGGAAAATGTTATAGAATAGCAGTCTTTGCTGAACCAAAATATTTTCATAAAGCAAAGAAAGTTGGTATAACTGAAATGGTGAAAGTTCTTGAAGCAGACAAAAATATAACAACAAAACTTACAGATATTTCTAAAGGTAAGTTTATAATACAATATTATGTCAAAACTGGCGTACTGTCAATATTTGACGGAGAGAAGTCAGTTCAAGAACAACTTACTGACCTGCTGCCAAAATCTGCTCGATGGAAGCTGTCGTTATGCCAATCTGAGGAGCCCCAGCAGGTTTCATCGAACGAATCTTCAAAAGAGCATCTTCCGTGAAAAGTGCTATTGGTTTTGTAAACTTCTTTGCTTTCAATTCATCTGGACCGTCTCTGTCACCAGTATATTGTATTTGTACAGTACCAACAGTTGAAATACCACCCATAAAGTCTTCTGAGTCAGCAAATGGAATGCCAAGCCAAAAGTTTGAACGGTCTCCATTTGTATATTGAGTTTTTTTGCCCTCCTGTATGAGTCCATACTTTCACATATGGCATAAAGAACTTTGCATTTCAGGTTAATGGTTGTTGTGAAGTTGTTGTTAAAGTTCATAGCATCTAATGTCAAGTTGTATGACCTCATATCTCAACTGTAGAATATTCTTCTCTTGGATAATATTTGCCATCTATGTTTATATGATATTTAATACCAGGGTTGTAGAAACAAGAATAGTCATTTATAGTTCGTCTGAACAGTACAAACATAGTATCTGCATGTTTCATTGCAGTTGTTAAAGCAATATCCGTTCTTGCACCTGGGTCAGCACTTTGGTTTCCAACTTCACCTGCAAAGTCTTTGACAGATATTTGGTGTATAGGGAACATAAGTGGAACTGCAATATATTTGGCAGCTAAAGCATTTGAAATATCTGGGTCCAACATATAGACTGCAAGTCTGCTTTCTATTCTCTTGCATTCAAACTTTTCGCATGTAAACTTAACTGGGTCCCAAGCATCTCCAGCAGCATTGAAATAATAGTTTACTTCAGTGTTGAGGTTTGAGAAACCAAAGTCTAAGTCAACTTTGTCTTTGCAAAATTCGGCGAATGACGTTTTATTTGTTCCCTTTACGTCTGTAAGAGTGAATGGGTCTTGTGTTGGTGCAATGACTAAGTTATTTTTGCTTGGAGTAAGTTCGATAGAAATTTTTCCTGCCCAGTTTGGCAAGTATCTTAAAAACCTGAAGATGAGGAAAGATGACAAAGGAACTCTAAGTTTCAGTTTTACTTTAGTGGCAGCATTTCCATCTGAACCAGAAAGGTTAACATAAACTCCTGGAACGTTAGGGTCAAGTCTTCTTATTTCTCAATAGTTGCATACTGGTCTGTTTGTTCTCTAGCTTGTGGTTGTACTGAGTTTCTCAAAGCGAACCATTCATAGTTTGCCCATGTTACTGTTTGAACTAAGTCAGAGTTAGAATATATCTTATATCCCATGAAAACTTCTGGAGCATATTGGTATCCGACATAGAAAATTCCATTGCAACCTTTCTTGTCAGACAACTTGGTAGAAGGTTTTATTTCAATGTCTTGTTCCACGTATAAGAATGAGTTGTCAATAGAAAATAATATGAAACCTGTCGCATGCAATATCTACTGTTGTTGAAGAACCTTCTCCAAACTCACCTACGTTTCCATAAGAAACAGCAGTTGTATATTCGTAAGTTCCAGGAACTATTTCTGACCTTCTAATGGCATTGTCGCATTCGTTATACCATTCGGAAACATTTCCATTCATGGCATCCAAAACTGTTGGCGTTATATTCTGAGCGGCGTACATTTCATATGAGTAAAAAATATAGAATAGTTGGATTTATATGTCATAATAGAACCCACTCGACCAAGCTTTACTTTCTTCCTGACTGAGTTTTTAACTCTTCTTTTTCCTTCATTGCCCTCTGCTTGAAGTTGTTGCATCTTTGCATTATGTTCATCTAGTATGTTGCAAATTTCCCATGTCCTTTTGCCTTTTGGCTCTGGTCGCCCATCTCAGGTACCTATATCCTAGAAAGAGTTTGTCATAGTCTGTATTTGAGTCTTCGCGTATTGTTTGCATGACTCTTTCCTGAGTTTCCGGTTCAAGCGCTTCAAACAGTGCCTGTCCATATGGAATAAGCTCGTTTCCAAATATATGTTTTTGTAGCCATTCTGGTTTTCTTTCCATGTTACCAACTATATCTTTTGTGAATGGAAAGCTTTTACCCAATCTTTCAGTCTTGCGTCGTTTATTTCTGTAGTTGGTTTTATTTTGTCAAGGAACATGTTTTTCAATACTAACATTTCATTTGGTACTGTCCATTTGAGTTTTCTTAAATATTCATCCCTTCTCGATTCATCGTCTGCAAAGTAAGTTTTTATGACATTTTGTAAACTTTCGTTTGCAAGGTCATGTACAATAGGTTCTCTTCCTTCTCTCTCCCTAACTTTCTTTCTAAACTCTTCACCAAATATACCATCTTTATGGTTCTGTGTAGTTCTTTGAGATAAATGTTCTAGAACGTCAGGTGTTATATTTCCATCAGCCATGTTCATTTCATACTGGTCCAAAATATCTGCATCTTTCATATCTTTCAATGGCATTAAAGCCGCGCTTAAAATACCAGCTATGTCTCGTTCACCATTGACTTCCATTGCGTCTACAACTTCTTGGAATTGTGGTTGTAAGTTTATGAACCACCTATCCGGGTTAGCTTTATGACCCCATCTCATTGTAGTTCCATCGTCTGCAGAAACAAAAGTAGGTTTGTTTCCATCTTGGTTAGGTTCTGAATGAACTTTAAACAATGTTTTTCTATATGTTTTCTTGAAATTTAACCTTTTATTTTCACCGAGTTCATCCGAAGATTGAACGTTAAATGCTCGTAAGTAAAAAGGGTTGTTGTATTTGTGTACATTTTTTTCAGTTCTTCCATTCTATGCTGGATATTTTCATCTGATGTTGGAGTCTTTTGTATGTCGGCAAACATTTTTCGATATTCTTCTACTATGTCAGCCGAATTTTTTTTAGACTCTTGGAAATATTCCATATTCTCCGCATACTCTTGTTGAGGGTCAAGATTTTTCGGCTGTTCAAATCTTCATCTAGTTCTGTGAAGTTAGTTTCCAAAGGAAGGACTTGTTCGTTTCCTTCAGGCTCTTCTAGCTGTTGTTGCTGAACTATTTCTTCCATGTCTGGTTGTATCTGAACTTCTTCCTGTGGAGTTTCTTGTACCTCATCTGCTGGCATTTCATATATTCCGAGACCGTTTTCAACAATTTCCCTATCTACGTCATCCGCATTCATAAGCTTTTGTTCTTTCGTTCCGTCTCTATTTTTTACGCGTTTCATGACGAAAGTTGAATTGTCATTTAGCTCTGACATCAAATATCTCGGAGTAAATTCATCCATGTCATTTGGATGATATGCTATTAAATCATATCCCTTAGCGAGCTTGTATTTTCCAGGTTTGAGATTATATCCGTTTTGGTGCTGAGCCATAAAGCTAAATAGGTTCGGGTCAGTATTTCCATCCTTGAACTTTCCAATAGCTTCTTTTATATCTGTCACTAAAGTCAACAGTATCTGGGAAACCACACTCTTCTTTAAGCATTTTTAAGAATTCTTGGTTTCCTTGTTCTCTACTTCTTTTATGTCCTTGCTCTGTTTGTGGTTGTTGTTGTGCAGGGTTTTGAACTGTTGGTTGTGCTGGATTTTGAACTGTTGGTTGTTGTGCAGGGTTTTGAACTGTTGGTTGTTGTGCTGGTTGTGGAGGTGGTTGTTGTGCAGGGTTTTGAACTGTTGGTTGTTGTGTTGGTTTTGGTGCATGCCTGTGTCTATGTCCATGTGACGATGTAAATGTTTTAGGTAGTCCTGGTGCAGGTGCTTCTCTTGGAGGGTTTGGTGGTATATAAGTTCCACCAGCTGGCACATATGTTCCATCTGCAGCGTAATGTCCTACCTGACTTTTCGTTTTTAAGAAAGCATTTACTAGGTCTGTTTTGGTCTGTTGTAACTCTTTTTCTTGACTTTTCACAACAGTTGCTCTAACGGCGTCATAGGCACTTTGAACTGCCTGTCTCGTTGCTGCATCTGTTATTTTCGTCATATTTTGTGCTACTTCTTTTAACTCTTTGTCGAAACCTTCAGACTTCAGTTTCTTTCCAGATGAGAAGTCGTTCACTTGTTTCACCTTACTATGAAGAGCTTCGAAGGCGTTCTTAAAGTCAGCATTCGTTAAAGCTTCATTTGAACTGTCTTCATCCGCTTGTATTTTTGTCCTTATTGACCCTATGAGTTGGGCTGCTTTAGCGTTGGCTTGGGCATCTAACCAGTCATTGTTAGCTTTTATATATTCTGCGCTTTTCATTGCCTTTTGCATGGCTGCGTCGTTATTTTTACTTTCTTGTGCTAAGTTTTCATACTGTACGGTTTGGTTTTGCAACTGTAAAAGTTTTTCTGCCTTTACATTTGCTTCAACTTCCTTTTTATACTCATCGCTATCCATATATGTCTTCAGGGCTTTTTGTTTTATCTCTTCATCTTTCAGTACTTTATATCGAGTAGTATGGTTTTTCAAATTTATGACATCTTGTTCCATTTTTGCTACTTCTGCTGCTTTTTCTGACACTTTTTTTGCATATTCCTCTGTACTTAGTTCTTTCAGTTGTTCTTCTTTCTTCTTTTTCTCTACGTTTAACTCATTTAGTTCTTTGTGTGTCTGTCATATTCTAGTTTCTTTTCGTTTTCACTTATTTGCTTCTGTATGTCTATGTTTGACTTTTTGACATCTGTTATTTGATTTTTGAGTGAACTCAAATTCATTTGACTTTGAGGGTTATATGCTGTTCCGTCTGCAGCTCCACCATAGCCTGCCATTTTCGCTAAAAGTGCCGCTCTTAAACCTCCACTCTGTGCACCAACAACTCGGTTTAAAAGCATAGGATTGCTTGACATTTGTTGCAACATAGTGGGGTCATTCATAATTTGTTGTTGCAACTGTTGTTGTGGTGTCAGTTTTACTATTGGATGTTTCAATGCTCTCTTCCTCTTACGTATATTCTTACGTAGCTTACGTGGCATTTTAAGTGAAGTTAAAAAGCGGTTTTTGACAGATGTTTATTGTGACTTCTTCGTAAAGACTTTATTGTGACTTCTTCGTAAAGACTTTGTTGAGATTTCTTCGTAAAGACTTTGTTGAGATTTCTTCGTAAAATCAGACAAAAATATATTTTAGGTGAAAAAACAGGTGAAATCTCACCTCTTCACCTAAAATATATTTTTGGTGTAAAATTCAAGAGGGTGAAAAATTAGGTGAAAAAACAGGTGAAATCTCACCTCTTCACCTAAAATATATTTTTGGTGTAAATTTCATGAAAATTCAAGAGGTGAGAAATGAGGTGAAAAAACAGGTGAAATCTCACCTCTTCACCTAAAATATATTTTTGTCTGATTTTACGAAGAAGTCTTGACAAAACATTTACGAAGAAGAAGTCTTGACAAAACATTTACGAAGAAGTCTTGACAAAACATTTACGAAGAAGTCTTGACAAAACATTTACGAAGAAGTCTTGACAAAACATTTACGAAGAAGAAGTCTTGACAAAACATTTACGAAGAAGTCTTGACAAAACATTTACGAAGAAGTCTTGACAAAACATTTACGAAGAAGTCTTGACAAAACATTTACGAAGAAGTCTTGACAAAACATTTACGAAGAAGTCTTGACAAAACATTTACGAAGAAGTCTTGACAAAACATGAAAACATATATAATTTGTGAAAAGTGAAACATTATATAATGTTTTCGACCAAGAAGACTAACAATTTTCCGAATAAAAACTTCATTTATACTAAACATCTTCGGGGCTAGAAGGGGCGCAGCCCCTGGAAGCCCCACTACCTTTTTTTTTTTTTTTTTTTTTTTTTAAATAATGTGTTTTCTAATTTTGACATGGAAAATTCAACGTCAAACCGTAATATCTAGGCATAATTTATATTTGATATAATTTGCTATTAGCATATTTAAAGATTCATGCTTCCGAAAATCATTTTAGATCTAATAATTTATTTCCAAAAAATATCTCCTGAATAAATCAAGATGTTATTGTAATATTTCCATTTATCACTGATAAATGGCATTCCAAACGGGAACCGCGGTTGGTTACCATGGATTTCCGTCACCGGTCACATTTTAAAGATTTTTAAAGCCTTATAAAAATATGCTTTGTAAATCATTTTTTGTAAATCGGCAAAAATTTGGTAATTTTCTTCAACAAATAAATCTGCGAATAGCATTTATAATACAAGAACAATCTTTTAAAATGCGTTTGATTCATTTTTGTATAATTTCATATAGGCACATATATTCTTCCGGGACTTTCCGTGATTTTACCGTAAAATCATTAGTTTACACCAATTTTTCCGTATTTTGAATAGTTTACTGCACTTTTCCCGTAAAATTGAGTTACGGGAATCCGCAAAATTTCCGGACCTCATTTTTCATAGAATATAATAATAATATTTGATAAAAAGATATATTATTTATATTTTTGATTTTTGAATTACGGAAAAAGTGAATTGATAACTTGACTTTTTTATATGGTTAATTTTTCAAATGATATTATGAAGATCTAAAATATTAAAAGTAAAAAATTGAATTACGGAAAAAATGAGGTCAAAAGTGAAATAAATTTGCAGAACAATTTTCATTGAAATAAGCTTTATTTTTCATTATTAATAACAATGCAAAAAATATTTATCACGGGTTCAAAATTTAAAATTAAATATTTTAATAATTTACATCTTATTCTTTATTTTATATTTAACCCGTGAAAATATCATTTAAAAATTGAATATATTCAAAAAGCTTTATTTTTATTATGACTGCATGGGATCCTCATGTATATGATGAGTGGATTCCATTATCCACCAACTCCTGAAACATTGGAAACAAAGTGTGGAAAAAATGTTTCACTACGATCGGCTATTATGAGAATGAGCCTAATCAATCAGACAAAGGAAGGCTCTTTACATACTGTGCCGAATGTAGTGAAACATTAGTTCAAGGGCAGTTCGTGCGATGCATTAAAAAAAGCAGGAAAAATGATTTTAAAGATCATAAGTGCAAATTTTTACTCCCAATGCCCAACTACGTTCCTGCTGAGCACCAAGTTGAGAATACTCAGCAAGCAGTTGGCTCTGGTAATGATCCTTCGTTAGAAGAGATCATTGCCAGGCTTATTGCGAGCCTAGATATAAGCCTTTATGCCACAATGAAGCCAGCATTTAAAAGCTTCCTAGAGAGCTTCGCCAAATGGCTTAAAAATAAAGTCAATCGCGAACAGGGCATCAACTTTACAATCCCAGACATTGAGTTCACACGGCGCGGTGTCAGAGAGGCATTGATTACTTTAGGCAAAACAGACTCCTCTCGGGGCCTAAAGTTCTGCGAGGAATTCCGCATCTTCTCAATTTCCCTGGACTGCGGAACACACGGCAGCCGTCATGGTCTATTCTCTTGTGTGTGCAATCCAGGCAAAACAGATCGCCACCAATTCTTCGACACAACAATTTCGACTAATTGGACATACGAGGACTACCATACGTGGTTTGATTCTCTTAAGGTTAATAAAAACCACGTAGCTGGAGTAGTCGGAGATGGTTTGCCAGCCCAGGTTAAAGGACTCTGCCACTGGAGGCCAGAAGGAGCCCTTTTCCCTGGCTTACAAACCGTGTACATTCGTTGCCTTAACCACGTCTTGAACAATGCTATTGTCCACGCACGTAAGCAATGTCCATTGTTGAATGAACTGATGAATAGAGTTCACCAGATTATCATTATCTTTAAGAATCACGATATGAGAGCGAGATACAAGATCAGGGTTCCATCAATCCCGGAAACTCGCTGGCTCTACATATATGATACTCTGTTTTTCATCTTTGATAATCTGGAAACAATTAATACTGCTTTAAGAAGTGGAGATCTTCCACTATCCCTTTCCAGAGCTACACGTGAACAGTTACAATGGACACGTGATGGAATTCCTCCACTCTTTAAAGATGCTTTAATGATATTCAAGCCATTAAAGCAACTTCAATTATGGCTGGAATCCAACAAGTCCATGGGTGCTTATGCATTCCTGATGATACAACAGTGCCAAGGGATGTTGGATGAAATGGCAGGAAGATTAACGCCAGATGGTGAAGAGATTCTCCGATCAATCACTACAATATTCAAAAATGATATGAAAGAATATGGTAGAATTGATTTGCTTCGGTTTGCTTTCGGCTTTACACCGTTAGCAAGGAAGATCATCAGAGACAAGAAGGGTTTTGGAGGAAAGACAAGCTATCCACCTATAATGCAGTTGAAAGATGTGCAAGTCCCAACGATTCTTCCTGAAGGATCATCAATCGCGAGATCACATTTGAGAAACTCGGCGAAATCCTTGAAGAAGAACGAACAGAACGTGTTGACGAGGTAGCCGAGCATGATGAAGAGATCCAGCAAGCAGAAGAGGAACAAATGCTTAACGACGATCATGCAGCCGAAACAAATGCCGATGGTTCGAGGAATTCCTTGGTCTGGGATGTTGTAGATGAAGAGATAAAAGATCTATACACATTCATGATAACAATCCTCAGACAAAGAGCAATTGCCGAATCAACAGTTGATCCAACGATCAATAAAGACGATAGAGCCAAGGAATTGAGTGATGCTTACGATTTCTTCATAGAGCAAGATGATTCCCATCTTATAAATGGTCATCATCTTGCTCAAAATGATGGCAAGTTTTGGTACATGAATGGCATAAAGCAACTAAAAGCAATAAGACCAATTGGAAA